TTTGGGCATGGTTGCATGAGATTTTGAGTGACCCGAGCCTGAAACATGATGGTTGGGGATTTGATAGATTCTTTTTATATAAACAATACGTTTATATAAAAACATGAGCTTTCTCATTTGTCTTTAGCTCGAAGCGCGAAACTGCTGTACACAGTATATCCCATCAAGTATCTAAATCTCAACTTTAAGGAGCATGCATTTGATTTCATATATGGTGCATGCAGATGTGGCCCTTTTCACGAAAGCGAAAGATGTGATCTCGAACTACATGACTGATCGGGATAACCCTGAGGCAACAACTCTGTCAGCAAGCTACAACCAGGCAAGTCTATCCTGCCATCAGTGTAGGGTCCGCATCGTTACTTATCTTCGGGCTCTAAAGACATCTTAGGTGATCAACGGGATTCAAAATACAGTAACCTCTTCTGAAAGAGAATCTAAGTTCCGCAGGACGCGATTTATAATTGCCGTTCATCTCCTACCTGCAACTGAAGGAACTAATACGATGTGGCGTGTTTACTGGATGAACTGGAAGTGCATTCTCTAAAGGGATTGGAGTTTCAAAGACCAAAATTCGATTGTAAAACTTCTCGAAGAATGAGTAGTAGTTCCTCGAATACAAGTTCATGGAGGCCTCATTCATTGTTCAGGACAATAGAACTCTAAGCTTACCATTTGCTTCAAGATTGGAAGTTCGTGGACAGAAGTAATGCGGTAGTCTCCCAACAGAAATACGGTTTGATGAGTTCAACTCACTGATACTATCATGGAAAGTGCACTCTCAACATAATTGAATCACAAACGAAAGGAATGGAATACACCGTTCATAATTGATGATTCGAAGAGGAGAAACTTGCTTTCCTCTTGTCGTTATCCATCCCTTCCTGTTGGTGATTACAGTAGCTTGAGGAAAGCCACTCTCTTCTCCACCAATGCCGATCCAAGATGATCTATCATGCATGAGGTCCACAGCGACCACTAGTACCTCCTTTACTAAACTTAGATGATTCTTCATGCTTATAGTGTGCTGTCGACTCCAACCACGGCAGCCATACTGGGCATGGCATCACGATGACTGGCCTTGAGGGTACGAGGAATGCTCTAACACCTGTTGATTTTCTGGCACGTGCTAGCATGGCGAATTCCACGAGAGCAGGTCTTGGTCCCTCGTGAGTGTGAGTGTGGTGCTACAACAGATAATCTGCCTTGAACAGATCAGTGTGAGTGTTTGCATGCTAGCCAGCAAGATACCCTTGAAATATGGGTGTTTATGGAAACTCATTCATGGAAGATGGTCAAGACGAGGGGAAAAAAAATCCAATCCACGAGAGGATTCAAGGGGTACAAATACTCGTCATTATTGGTTTCGATCTGTATTTTCTTTCTTTTTGCGATCTAAAGGATCTTTCCAATAATTTACAGAAGTCCAGGATGATTGTATATACTATTCGTAGTTGGTGTTTTGCAAGCCTCCATACCTGATACTGCGTATGCCTCACTGACATGATTAACATCAATAATGGATATGGAATAAGGTATATATGATTCCTTCACTCACTCAAGTTATATACACAAATAGTTGTCGCTTTATTTCTGCGTGTATATATTCACTTCTGTAGAATACAACTAAACATGACGGAGGTTTTTTTTGGATGAGAACGTACAGTGGTAAATAAATACAAATTTTCCCAATTTTAATATCTCTAATCAAGTATATTTCAATATAGAAGTCTTTTTACTAAAAACTTTAACTTTTGCAATTTTTTACCTAGCAAAAAAATGTAATGACTATCCAGTTAGACTGTTTATAAGCTTCTCAATAAGCCAAAGATGCTAGGGCAAAATTCTTACAAAGGTCTTTCAATGCTAAATATGAGTTATTTTTTGATTTTTTCTCTAAATAATTAAGTTTCATTTCATCATTAAATTGATACTAAGAAAATATGAGCATATATGTTAAAATTCCATGAATCTTGAAATAAATCTTATTGACTTTTATTCTGATCAAATACATAGAAAGATGTTGAAACAATCCTACGACTTCAAGTACACCTGATTTCAAGATATTTTTGGACTTGACATATATAAATTCTATCATCTCTATTTCATAGAATCATGTATATATAACTTACCGATATTTTTTTTAATGTTTTCTCTATTTTCACCGATATCTTTCAAGTTTGTTATACTTAGTACTATTTATTGCATAAGAGATGTATTCAATTTCAAGAGCGTAATAACAGTTATATATCTCTTACAACAAAAATGAGTTGTTTCATCCAATCCAAAGGATCCTAACTCAGCACGCGTGGGGCATCGCTAATAAAAAACAATATTTAAAGTGCTTCAGACTAGATGTAACACAACCAAAAATAAATGGTACTAAGACTTAGCACCGCTTATTTTTGTCACTTCAGAACTAATAGTAACTATTAGCTCCTATTGAGGCTGGTGTGGTCGGTGGTAGGGAAAAATGATAATGTGAAGTACACAAAGGTCATATGTCTGCATCTGTCAGTATATGAATCCAACTGGCTGTCCTATGGACTACAATGTCAACACTTACTTGTCGGCAACTTCCTGGAAATCGTTGGTCTGCGTCACATCACATCATTCCATGCCCGTCCAAGTTGATATATCTAAGTCACATCCACCATGTGCTAACGTACGTTGAGATTATATCCGAACCATCCCAGCTTCCTTATCTTCCCCTTCTCTTTTTGGCTACATCATTCCTCCTTATATCTCATTGTATCAGTTAGAAACTTGAGACAATGACATTCAATTCTTTATATATGAAACTTACATTATCTCCAGGACGTACTCAAAACATGTTATTTGACATCGAGCTGGTATTTTCAGCATGCAAGTAGGATATGTGCAGTAATAAATTGAAGATTAGTTTGTAAATGGCAACTATCACAACTGTGATCAAAACTCAAAGAGATTATGTATTGGTAGTTCCTAACAAAGCTGTAAGAAATCACAACTCATATTTTAGTGACCAAAAGATTTTGAGCATAAGATTGTGATGATTCACTTCATTCTTCATGATTTTCTGCTGCTCATAAGAAAAAAAGCATGATGAAAAATATTAGAATCTCTTCATAAAAAAATAAATAAACCTCAAGATATATATCGATGGGTCAGAGAACTAACCAATTATGTTCTTATTTTTTGTATAAGTTTTTCTTTTTCATCTGTATGCACTTTAGAATTAAAAATATACACTCTTACACATATTTGAAATAAATTATGCTGAAAGATATGTATAAATAAATTGACATTTATATTTTGGTTATAGAAATATACATTCAATTATTATGTAGATAGTATATTTTAAATTTTTTTTTATAATTATATGTGACATTATGTTGAAATTATACCAGAGGTATTGAATAGAGTGCATCAAGATGTATAAAATACTTAGATAAGTTTCGATGTATTGGATCACATTATAGACGGTATCCGACACTAAATTATATTTGATAAAATACATGTTGTGGATACAAAAGCTGAATTGTATACAAAAAAGTATGAGGAAATGATGAAGATGGAAAAATCTGTCGACTACGATCAGAAGGTTCTGTCATCTTATCATGACATCGATGTAACACTATGAGTAGTTGTGACAAACAAGGTAGCTACGAAATATTTTAGTTTGTTGTAATTTATATTACTTTTGACATGAATACGGAGTGACATGAATGCAATGAAAATCAATATGCAAGTTTAAGCCTCTTCAGTAGTCTCTAGACATCGCAGTGCACAATTGGAGATGCTGGTTTGTCTCGAGAACCACATATGCTTCGCTTTATTTCATGCTGAGTCCTCTAATAGACTTTTAAGAGTTGGCAGCATCTTGAAAATACTTCGCCTTCTTCAGAACACCAATTACATATGGAGATACGAACCTTCGTCGGCCATCGCCTCGCCCGAACATCTTCCTCTACGCAAACTGACAGCTCGACTTGATTAAACTTTCCTACCATTCTTCTTGCAGGGACACTAGTGCCGGTTTCATCAGCATTCAGGTAATGCCGTGCAAAAAATGATATTTCTTCGATATTTGCTCCATCTTTATCCACTATCTTTCGACATGGGCACAAACTCCATTACCCTGAAATGTGAGTTATGACTTTCAGTAGAGGACTCAGCCTCTTTGCAGGTCGAAGCATGGGTATGTGTGACAAGACTTGCTTCCGTATACTGGGGTCCTTTAAGAATGACCACTTTGACTTCATATGGTCCTCTGATGTGGGCAGTTGTTGACGTAGTGTAAGAGCTAACCAAGGAAGCTTCAGGTGCTGCAATAGTAAACTCCTTCACGTCAAATCCAAGAAGAATCCAAAGATGGCTAGGAACGCACTAGTCTACAGATGCACACAAGAAGTTGCTGGATTCCATGCGTGATTACGCATGATGATTTTTTGAGATGCAAGCACATTCGAGTGAATAGTATTTAAGTATTGAAAGCCACAATAGACCTTTTTAAGGAATATTTCTGAGGTTCCAATACAACATTTCGGCCAACTAATGTGATAAAAATACTTGGGACAGAAGCAGATAAGCGATACAGATTCTAGTGGGACCAACAAAATTAGCCAACTCTAATCATACATTGTGGTAATCACACCGCTATGTAACAGGTGCCCAAAGCACTAGTCAAACATATAAAGCAGAGCGAGAAGATTCGAATCAGCCAGAGCATAAAGTTTATATGATGATGCCCTATGTAAACGAAGACGCACTACTCTAGCTCTCACAGGGCAAATGAAGCTGTCTTTCGAACCTATAAACTCGACAAAGAGCCAAACTTTCCAGAGCACTAAAATGAGATTTTCTATGTGTGAACATAGCTCTGGCATTACAAGATCTTTGAACGAAAAAGTCCAGAATCTAACTACCAAGCCGTCATAAGTAGAAAAGTCAGACCAACCATAAAATTTGCCAAATCAATCTACATCAATCATCTGCAACATGCGACCTAAGTGGAGTGTGAGAATAGAAACTGCGAAGCCATTTAAAAATCGGACCCTCGTAACTTCGATAGTCTTTTCCTTGAAACAATGCTCAGGGACTTTCAAGAGATGAGGAACAAAACTCTTGGAAGCAGAGACCATCTCCAATTTCTTTCCCTAATATGGAGGAAGCAAATAAATCTCGAATCGGGCTAGAGCACTAGTAATATGAGATAGCACATAGTGTCAGTCCTGCTGCAGAGCCTCCTCACGTTCGTGACTGAGTGAGGTGAACTGAGGCGATTTTACATTGTCCATTCTCAAATACATGAGGGACCTGCTCAGGCATTGCATGCTAAGTGCACATGAGCCCTCATCACAGTAGGTAACTCAGTTGCCGACTACTCTAATTTCCTAGTCGTTAAAATAATCATTTGAGTTTAATGAAGAAAACAGGGACTAAAGTGCAAGAAGTATTTGGATACTATCCAGATGAACGTACTATTAACCCCCTGAATGGGAAACTGGGGTGGTGATGAATTGCCCATCTTTAAACTCATTCAAAAACTGCTCTGGCAACGCATGCTCCACCTGCACAGAAACTCATCAGAATTAGAAAAACAATGACAAAAGAGTTCCATCCAGAAGATAGAGACCAAATTAGATCGTGCTTGTCCAACAAAACTTGAATGGCATTCAGAAACTCAGTTGGCAAGTCATATCTTTGCTGAGCGGAGATTGATTATGTTCGTCTTTGTGACACCGTAAGCAGCTTCCAGTTTGTTGAGAAAGAGTTATGACAAAGCACAGCATCCTGAAACCAGAGAAGAATCCTTGGCCATTACACGTACCAGATCTGCTTCTGGTGTTGCTCCTGGGACCATAATATTTACTTCGCTTGATTTTGCTGTCGTTATGGACGCGTGTAACGAGTTTGCACTCAAGTATAGCTGGCACCCATTTGTATTATCTATGGCGATAGTTGGTGCTGAACCCTGTCCAACGGATCGAAGAACATTAAATTACTTCATTTGGTAGTCTGGAAATCTAGAACTATTACACATCGTCAACAGATTCAAAAATAAGTAAGGGAACACTGAATTAAGACAGAAAATGATAACGAAGCAGATATATATAACAAACAAACCCACTAAATATTGGATGAGCCACATCAAACAGTCAATTTCCAGGACCTGAAAATGGGAAAAGTGCAATACCTGACACTGCACCTCAACGCTAGTGCAGTTTACAATCTCACAAGCCGCAACCACATCCTGCAACCAATGCAGCTAAAAATAAGTTTCCTGCACCAATAGCAAAAGCTCTGGTAAAACTGATGGCATATTTGGAGTACTCGGCTTCAAGTACGTGAAGGAAAAAACTAGAAAATGTGTATAGACCAGCTTACACTGAAAACAAGAGCTGTCTTAACGCTTTTATCCACTGTAATATTATTCACTTTGCCTGCCAAAGAACGAAAGAAATCCCTGTTAGTCCAAGTAGTTGGAGACAAATTAGAGGTTTAGGCAGTAGGGCATTGCCTCAGGTATCAAGTGCTCCACACTAGGAGAGCTGTTTATCATGCAACTCAAGAACTTGGGCCCATCCAGGAAGCTTAAGCAGTGCATCTTTTGAATTTATTGTAGTACCTTTAACGTGGATGATTGAATCCTTGCAACCAAACACATAGACAGATTGCCTGGGATTGGTATCGTCTATATTAAGTTGCTTGTTGCCAACCTGATGCTCTATTACCCATCTGTCACTCAACACAGCGAACTGTCCATCATTTACAAGAACCATGCACCTGGAGGACTTTAAAACGAAATACTAATTTCCAGCAACAATATCCATATAGCTCTTCGGTATGCAATAAACCTTCGCTTGTCAATCATAAAAAAAGGAAGATGTAGATGTAGATGAAACTCTTAAGAAATGCTACGATTATGAGGTCACCTAAAAGGGCCACTACTTACTTCCGTCCCAGTTGCAATTCGAAAACTGGCTTCTTGACAACGGCTTTCACTGGAGCCACAGCGGCTTCCTTTTCTGATTTGGAAATGGCGGGAACTGCCCCAGTCCTGTCAGCCCTATTCTTTGTCTTCATATCATCCGTCACTTTCCTCAACCCTGCAGTAATAAACCCATCCCCCTTAAAAATTCATTCCAAAAAGCTCCTAAGTACTGTTTCAAACATTTTCAACGACGAATGGTGATGAAGATTGAGGTGTAGCTGCTGTTACACATCTCCAATGCATCAGTAAGGCATAACAAGTACGAATGAAGGTCACCAACCTATGGCTGCAATTACACCCACAAATACAAAAAACCGAAGCACTAATTTGAACCGTCTAATTTGACTCCTGAGTCTTTAAGTGACATGAAAAGAACCTGCTGTAACCGCTTCTCCTTTGCTCAGTTCTTTGAAGACTTCGCTCATGCTCGCAGCAGGCGCAGGAGCAGCTGGACCGGACGATGAAGAAGCAAGCCCTGAAGGTGGTGGAGGTGGAGGTGGAGGAGGGGGAGGGCCTGGAGGTGGGGGTGGGGGTGGTGCCCTTGGTGCAGATGGTGGTGCAGACGGCGCGGCAGTAGGTGCCTTCGTCGCAGCCATACCAAACTGGGAGACATCAATACCTTTAGCATTCCAGGCAGGTCCCGTGGTATGGAATTTTTTTACATAATCCCTCAAACCTGGTATGTACAAGTCTTTGACGGCTTTTGCCCACTCAACATGATTTGGATCCTTAGTTTTATATTCCACAAGAACCTGCAAGAAAGACAATAACGTAATTTGAGGGAAATAATTCACAAAATGAACATAGAAAACCCACAGGAGTAGACTAGCTCTCCACTTCACTTAGAATTATAGGGGAAAGATAGAGATGGATGTAATCCTCAAGGCACTACAACAGATATTAGCTGATCTTTTGTTGGCATCTCCGAGCAAAATCTTCGGGTGATGTTTATGGAGAGAGAATATCATGAGCAAGAAATTAGCCTACAAGACATAGCCAGAACATAAGCGGACGCATTGTCTTCAAGGGACATTTGAACAGGCATAGCAAAGGGTTTCATAAAAAGATTTTGAAACGCTTTACTTCATCTTTCAAGCGCGTCCCGGATAAGTGCTAGGACAGAAATAACTACGGGCAAATAGAATGGAACACAAACACCTTAGAAGATTTCGAGAAGGCTATCACCTGCCGTTGAGCATTGGCCACGCTTTCCATACATTAAATGCTTAAAGTCTACATTACTTAAATCCAGATGGCAACGACCTGTTTTATAATATGCGCTATGAAACTCAGAAACAACTTTCAACACTAGTTAACAGACTCGTGTTCTACAGGCTGTGTTATTTTGAAGTTTAAGAGGTCAGAAGTCCAAAAGATGGAAATGGTTCAATCAGCTTACTTTATTGTTATAAAATTCTGCAGCTGGCCAACTCTCGTCGACATGGGGTCCAGGCAGGCTCAGTCCTGCAAAAACATTGGTGGGAGGAAAGTCTTCAAAACCACCAGCAATTTTTACGATATCAAGAATATAAAATACTTTACAATCAAGCCAGCTACTAGCCCACAGAAAACTTGAGGTACAGATTTCGATTTTTCTGTATATTGCGACATGGTTCTTTCTCCGTTCAAGGCATAGAAGATCTTGATCCTGGGAATGCCCTTACCACAGTCTTTTCCCGTGTACACAACCCATGAGAGTGTTGAAAGACTCTCCGCTATAACTTTTTGATGATTGAAAGCGTCAGTCCTTTTCCCTTCAGTCAAGGCATGTGCCTTCTGGATGGCTTCCCCCAGAGGTTTGACCAAGTTTTGTAAACCTGCAGAGTTAGGTTCCTGAATTTCCACAGAAAGCCACAAACATCAAAAGTTTAATAAGATGTCAAAGGATAACAGCCATCTTACACATCATACATAGAACGCAACCAGGAAAACCAAATCACCAAATGTACGAGAAGTAGCCTAAGACATGAAAGATCAGATAAAAATAGCTCAAAAGAGCATCTGCACAATAGGAATCTTATACATAAGACCAACAAATACTGAATCCTTTGACAAAATCCTTACACATTCTAATTTTAGCATAGAGTAATCAGGAGATTGAACCCCTACGATGTTCAAATAGCCAGATGTTCATGTAGCCAGATATATTATCAAATCTTATATATTTATTTAGATTTGTGCATGATTGTAGGCCTGAAATTTGTGAGGGTGCATGTAACGTTCAATATGTTTCCAACTTCTTCTACTGACTCTTGCAATGCTAAAAGCCCTGTTGAACTTATTGAGCCTCAGCTTGATTCTCGACTAGGAAGCTAGAAACTCACTGAGGGCTACAGATGTTGCCATTTGCCATTTAGATGCTATCCTCAGTTCTCTCAGCAACCGACTCACATTATCGTACTGATTATAACAGCAAGCCTCATAGGTTAGTTCAGGTGACAGTTCCGGTCGCGAAGTTACTGTAGAGCTGCAGCACACTTGTTCAATGTATGCAATCATTGTCCTTTAGTTCAATCCTTCAACAACCAGACGAAGGCCTGAACTAAAACCGGGACATCTTACCTCTCACCCTCAAACTTCTACTTTCCAAACGAAGAATATGCACACGGCATGACATATGTGGCCTTCAGAATTTCAGGCAGCTCTTTTCTGCGCTTCTGGCATATAAACTCATTCTTTGATTGTTTTAAATTTTGCCTAGGGCAGTATCTCCCCGTGGAAACAGGGCATGCTCGAGAGGCTCAAGGACCACATAGTGTTTTGGCAGATTTCTTCGCCCCCTTGATCTGACCCCAAAATCAAGTATGTGAGATACAAACTGCACAACTATTACAAAATACATTTGCCTTTCTGAGACTGTATGACTGTCGCGCATTTCTCGTCTACCAAATACCAGTAAGGATTTGTCTTATGAATGCCAAATCGAGCGCCACTGACAATCCTTCCCTGAGAAGGAAGTGTAGTGCCTAAGCAGTCAGTGCATACAGACAAGCAAACCATCCACATCGATAAACTGAGGCACACTGCTAGCTACAGGTGCAGTCAGAGGGAAGATAATCGCTGCGACAATCTGCACTGGCCTTGTTGTGTCATTCTGTGTCATTCTCTGAATCTACAAAAATCTGTCGATGGATCGAATCATTTTCGAATGAGCAAGAAGAGGGCCCTCTCTAACTTGGGAAGAAGGAATTGCCAGAATAAGGAGGCAAAGTGTGAAACCCGGATCAATTCATCTGAATCACGGGATCAATCCGGATGCACCGCCGTCCGGCCAAGATCGTGCCTCGGCCTCGAATGGCGGAAGAATACCAAAACGCATCAAAACTTGCAATTACCTTCAGAGTCCTGAAGCGTAAACAATTTGATCAATTGGATCAATTCACTCACCTTGCACTGGGAGAAAGCCAGCACAATGTTCCGCTCCGCCGCAAACGCACTCTCCAGAACCTCGGTGGCCTTCAGCACAGATCCGCCAATCTTCACCGCCGCGGCCTTCACGCGCGTCAGCTTGGTCTTCAAAAGCTCATCGAAAGCGGCCACGGAAGGGCTGATGGCCCCATCCGCGCTATCGACCTTCGCATTCTCCTTCACCAGATCCAATGCCGAGATCGATCGACTCGAGACATCGGGCTTCTTCGCGAGAGCTGGCGAGGTCTCCAATCTGCCTTCCAAGAGCGACGCGACCCTCTCCAATCTTGCCACTAGAGCTTCCAACGCGCCTGCATCCGCCATCGCTGCGCTCTCACAGCAAGCAAAGCTCTGCCTGCCTGCGCTCTCCAACACCAAGAGCCAAACTTTAGATCCTTAAAAGTCGACGCTCGTCACATTCGCCAATTCGCATGGCACCGAGGTCGCGCCATTTCCTCGCCAGAACCTCGCGCTACAAGGACGCCTCCGTGCCCGCTGCCCGCCTCCGACGCCGCCTGTACCGAGCGCTCGGCGCCTGCGCTGCGCTGTACAAGAGCATATTTTGGAGGCGCCTCCCGCTGGCAAGAACACTCGGATGGCATGCGCCCCAAGCAACTTGACGCGGGGCCGGGCTTGCCGGCCGTACCGCAAATGGCAAGTTTATCGCCTGCCCGTCACTTCTCCGACCCTCGTCTCGCGTTTTCCGTCCCCATTCAAATCTTTATCCTCGCGCGGACTCTACGGCCGGTACGGTCCCGATTTATCGAGCATCTCCACCCAGCCAGCACTCTATTTCTATTTCTATTTCCCGTCGGGTGGTGAATACTCCATTTCTCCAATTTATGATTGAGTTTAATCTCATAATTGATGTGTATTTGAGTGCCTCTCAATTTTTTTAATTTTCACGATTGTAAACTTTCATAAGCTCTTTGATCACTTTCTCTGTTACATTTTTATTGCGGCAATACGATTTCATTTATGTACCAACATTTCACCAAACGTCTTTCGTTCACCCGTTCTTCGCATTGCTGATACTCATCTTTTTGTCAAAACTGCATGCTCGTGAAGCTTGGATCGACCTTGCATCAACGTTTCACTACTTGCATTATTTATTTATGAACAATTTGGCTCTAAGATCATATTTGCGTCTTCACATTATTTCACCTGCAGCATGGGTCCATATGAATCGTTAGACTGGTGAAAGTCATTCAATATGATCATGATGAAAATAATGAAAGTATTTGTTACGTTACAAGATAGTGGAGATCTGTGATATATATAGTATAATATAATATTTTAATTAATTTAAACTCTAGCTATAAAGTGATGTAAATATCTTAATATAAATTTTGACATGTTTGTGAAAGATTTTACGAAATACTATCATATTTAAAGGAAGGTGTAATTATTTCTCTAACCCGTTGTGTATCCACATGTTTCTTTTGTACATAGAACTTGTTATGTGCTTTAAATCAAAAGACAATAAAATCTAACGTATCTTTCTATATATGAGAATAATTCATGGTAATTAAATTTGAATGCATACATAATTTATTTCATGCATTTATTTTTCTAGTTTGAATATTATAGTTTTTGCATGACATAATTCTCCTTATGACTCTACGGATGCCTCGCCATTGGTTTACTTTGCTAATAGGGCTTGATGTTGTCTTCTTCTTCTTTTTTGGCCATGCACTTGCATCCAGTAGTATCCATATAAAAGCAACCACAAAGATAATGTTTTATCACATGCTTTTGTAGTATATAGACTATTAGAAGAGAGATGATTAACTCCCAAAACGAAAAATCCCCAACTTAGAGACGACGTTTTTCATCATCCGCTTAAAATGATGATTCGCATAGTTCCTTTATATTTCTATTCTTATTGAATCCTTTCTGTTTTACAAACTGCAGGTTGTCATTTGAAATTATTTCCTCGTAGAGTGAACAATAATTTGTCCTTATATACTACGGCTCAAAGTATTAGGAATTGTGATGACACCTGTTATTGCAACTCACAACGATCTGCAAAATCATAATATTTAGCACATAAATGTTTAGAAAAGTTAGGTGCCTGGATTGAAGACTCCGAGCAGCTTATGTGCTGACAGGAGTCTGATATGCAAATGCTTTGATTTGATCGAGTTCCACACTCGTGGCTTGGGCCGACTTTTAGAGTGTCTAAACGTTCGCCCAAGCGACGAATTTGGAACTCAGACCTCATGGTCATGTTTCAGTTGTCACACAAGATATATAATTTGACTTTTACCAAAGCTTTGATATTAGTCCTATTTATTGATCTATTAAAATGCCAACTATAATATTATTGTTAGATTCGTCATTAAAATATGGTAGTTACCATAATTTGATGGTGACTATTTTGGAAAACAGTAACTTGGTAATAGAAAGAGTATGTGTTAAGGCTGTACATGTCCATAAAAAGAAGGAGCAAGAAATCGGAATAAAGGACGGTAAAGCTCGACGTATGTGACTCAAGATTTGCTTGTGTGAACGAATGTGAGAGATATTGACATTTGAAAAGTCGATAATTCTGATACCCCTCAAATTTTTTGCTGTAAACGTGGCAGGGAACATCAATAAACGTGCGTATATCTCCTCAAGCGTGCTTCTACGTGTATCCACGACATGTGCATGATTATAACACACTTGCTCCTAACAATGTGCTACATTTCGTGACGACCCGTACATACCCTCAAGTGAAATCTATAACTACCAACAATTACAAAATTTACAATTTACGAAATGTCTTTTCCATATAAAGCACCGAATGCTCTCCTTCGAAGATGACCGGGTTCGACGGCACAGCCGTCAGGTGGAAATAGCCTCTCCAACCCGGAACCGGGTTCCAAGTAATAGACCTGGCCAAGCCATTACGCCATCCACCACAACCACGGAGCTGATTAATAAAAGTTCGTGCTCACTAACTAAAATCGTCTACAGAATAAAATAATGTACATTGCGTGTTCTCATATCTCAACTCGAATGTTTCAAGCTCAAATAAAGCACTAACCTGGCGAATATTGCTGCCGCACACCCCAGGACACGGTAGGAGTTCTTCTAGAAATTTGTCTACTACGTCCAAGTCAAACCCATACCATAAATCTACGACGGGTGAAGTTCAATTGTTGGAGGCTAAAGGAGCAGATATGACGTTTGTTCTACTATACAACATGTACGGACGCACAACACACAGAATTCAGCTACTTCCCATAGCTTTTGATAAGGTGTATACTAAAGAAGCAGTTTGAATCGGATAGTTTCTAATTATGAATTTCTTCCGAATCCGTAAAATTACCAATCTAAATTGATAAACACTTATAATAATATTCAGACCACTCCTTAAAAATGAAAATGTTACATTTAATAAATTTATCTCTACATATTGTCTAAGACTTCGAAATGGTTTCCTTGATAGCGGGAAGTTCTTCAAAAGGGGAAAAATAAAAAGAGTCCTGGCATGGCTTGATGCTCACCTGGCATTTGTGTTCCTCCTCCAACACGTTGACCGGAGGCTCCGGGTTTCTTGCACGAGAGTCAAAACCAGGCACTGTAACGAGAGGGAGGAGAATGACGGCCGCGGAAGGAAGGCGCGGGACGGCCAATCGGGGGCCGCAAGGCGCACTGTCGAGGCCGCAGTCGCAGGAGGCGCAGCGGCAGGCGCGCCCGTCAGCTGATACAGAGCACGAGCGCATCGGGCGAGATGGAGATGGTGATGGCGAGCCGCCAGAAGGGGTGCGAGTCGACGCTATGCATGTGGACATCGGGCCAAACGACGAGAGTGGCCATGCGCTTTACTGTTACTTTCACCCTGTCTTGAGTCGCACATATGCTCTCGAGTGTGGGCGGTCGGTCTCGGCCTTGCTTTCAGACAGGCAATTCGATTCCACTCGCCGTCCGATGCCAGTGATCGACAGCTCTTCAGGGGTACAGGCTTTCCTGGTGGGGCACGAGTGACTTTAGCGCCTTGGTCGAGTTGTTTATTCCTTTCGGTGACAAGACGACGTTTTGTTGCTGGATCCCAGAAGAGAAATCTTCGGGTCCGGGCGATTGCCTTCGTGGGACCGAAGTTATGGACATAGTGGCGATTCAGAAGTCGGCAAAGCAGTCGTAGTTGTTGGTTGGAATGTAACCGTTCTCAAGCTTTCACCCTGCTAGACAAACAGTGGAGCGTAAGCAGTGCTGTCATGTGCCAAAGCACGCCGAGTGCAAAGATTGTTCACAGTGCTGTTGCAGGTTCGGTTTGGAGACCATATTGAAGTTGTGCACTGATTGGTAGTTTCGAATCATCTTACCTTATGCCGGCAGTTTGGTTCTTTTCAGATACTCGGAGATATTCGATGTGAACGCGGTTAATGGTGAGCTCAACCTCGTCGCCAGTCACCGTCACACGCTCAAGCTCAATTAGTGGGTCACGACGTCATAGTATCTTCCAGCAGGTTGAACAGCATGTATTAGACTCTACCATTCTTCTTTTCAAGAGCTCTAGTCACTCAGAGCTGTCGATTGTCCCTTCACATCTGAAGATACATCTGGACTTATGTCCCGTTACTAAAAGCATGTCACATATTGAGAGCACCTGTATATAAGGCCTGTAGTCTATCCAGGCTTGTCCACCCATCTAGCAAAGATACTTTCTAGCTGTAAGCAGCAGTAGGTGAGAACTGTCAACGTATTATTTTCCAATGACCTCGACGAGAGAAGACTTGGAAACGACGATCTTTCCAGATGACACAGTTTGTTTTAAAATTTCGACAAAGATCGACAAAGATTGACAAAGAACGAACGTCCCACCGCCGATGGCGTGAGACCTTTCCTGATTTATGAGGCCAGAGATAATTTACTTCTATTCAATGTGACTGTACATGAAACACTCAATTTCGTTCCGTAACTAGCGAAACCTTCAGCTCTTTCATCGGCGTCCACTTACAGATCACCAGTGTGAAGGTGATCGGCATACAGCAGCTCCTTTTGTATATTACAAGAAGGTGGTGATCCGTCCAGCAGCTGCTATAACCGATTGGCATGATCCACAATTCAGCTCTATTTCTATGTATCAAGAATCCAGCTGTATCCTGGATTCTGGATACATTCTGGATCAGCGTATGGTGCAAGGAAGGTTGCGAGTCATCCTCCCGTCAGAACTTATGTTGACTAAAAGTTGTGTATATGCTGGTTTTCAGCAATCGATTTGACAAAATTGGTCGGCGATGCCGGACATCGGAATCTACATAGTAACAGCCTAACCTCAGTGCTACGATACAGAAACACAGATCCCACTCATGTTGATCCACCTGTATGCACATCTATCTCTAAGGTCCTTCACAACTTGCGCCGCACAGTCAAAAGCAGGACGAGCTATAGCCAGCTTCCTCTCGGCAGCTACTTTCACAGTCACATCGGACACCTGTGTGAGAGACGAAGATGTCAGCAGATTTCTCAGCTCTGATATTCAGATATGTACGTTCAGTGGGCTTAAACATCCGGAATGATCTGTCACAACGGTAGTCTGCAACCGACCAGGTATATTTTTACGCTGACCTCTCGATAGATCTCTATCATTCACCAGACTAATTAAATCGTTCTGGGCCATGACCGAGAGAGAATTGGAATTAAAGGTTAACAGAGCAACCTAGAAACGTAGTGGTCATCAAACGATAGCTTACCTTGTCTAGAACGCGCGCTGCGTCTAGCAATCGGTGGAAATGGGTCAGTTGTTTGTAAAGGTCGACTTCCGTATACTGAATCAGAAGACAAGAAAAACCCGCGTTATTATGACACATATACGTATTATCGTACTCGGTTACTGGGAAGTGATTAATCTGATCATCTGATTAAACTGATCAGACGATCCTGCTGCGGTATGGAAGTATATCAGGAAAGCGATGCAGGATCTAATATTTCTCAAAGTCGTGGTATCAGCAGGGGAAGATTGAACATACCTGACGGCCTAACCGTCCATTGCATCGGGGATAGTTAGGACATACGGTGCCTCTGTCCGCATCTCCAACAACCCGTAGGCTCACGTTTCGAGTGAGGTGACCACAAGCCTCGTCGTCACACTGTGAGAGATACTAACAGATCAGAAAGAGGATAGTGAAGTTACAAAACAATACGGATCCATCAAGAAAAAACGCTAACATTGGGTCGTGTCCACCTTCCACAAATTACAAAGTCCACGAGCTACGACTTGCATGACGTAGAAAGTATTACCATCATCCAACCGTCATAATATCGAGCTATAAACTCCTCAGCCCTTTGCTTCACCTGCAATCAGTAATAAATCTTGAGTTTTATGAACTTCCGTTCCAATCTCATTGAGGACCCAGAATGGTCCTCGCAAGAGTTTGCTGGAAATAAGAATGACTCGTGAGGCGAACTATCGAGCGACAATTGGGCGGAAAAAATCTTTAAGAGGGTTAGTGCATCCTCTGCATTTGCTTCAAGTTCGACTGTAACAGTAGATTTGATGTTCCTCCAACAGTACCTACAATATGGATGAAGAAGAAAGGTAAGGCTACACAAACCTGGTTCGCAAGCATAGCCGGCGATAACCTTTGCATGGAGCCCCCATGGGAACACTGAGGGCATCTTAGCGGATCATCTGATACAGGATGCTCACTGCTGTCTTGTAAATTGGGGGAAACCATTCTGCCGACACCGGAAAATTGATACCGTCTAGTGCACTGTGGACACACCAGCTGGAGTGCTTCGCAATGGCGATATCTAGCACGTCAAACAAGATATCTGTCAATAGGCTGGAGACTGAAAGGGAACTTTGGGCAGCTTCCCGTCAGCCTCCGATCACATACAGCAATCATGAACAGCGCCAGCGACGGGAATGGGCTCAGAGAAGAGAAGGGCAAGCCCCTCTCAAAATCAAGAGCTATTTCATGTGATTTCTCCGTAAGTTTCTGCATCATGCAGAAACTTACGGAGATTCCGCTTGAGACCTGAGTTTGAGCAATGCCTTCACATTCTAAAAAGACACCGAGCCAAGTGAGTGCGCAAGTACAACGGCGAGCGAGGAGAAGATATTGTCACCCTAGATTATTAAAGACCAACAAGATGTCATACCTATCGTCGTCATCAAGAATGGTTGCCGATGAAAGAAGAGTGTCTTCCACTTCGTTTGCAGGTTCCGCTCGGTGAAACTGCAAAACATCGGACGACACAATTAAGGCACAATCCTTGACCTACGGGCAGACCGTTATTACTTCGCCTTTGATTATATAGTGGCCTGAAGCAATGAGTCAGTTTCTTGTAGTGATGTACACACCTTGGAAGGATCCAAGCCTAGACATTCGGCTATGTGTCTGGCGTCTGTTCCTTCAATCGGTGCGCACAGTCGCGATACAACAGGGTGAATCTGCATGAAGTCGAATCCCTATTAGTCTTCCTGGACTCTTTATGTATTCTCTTAACGGAAGTGCACAGTTTTGTGCTGCAGAAGACACTTGCATCGCTTAGACGTCAGCTTCACAACCTTTCTATACTATGTAAAGAAGTTTTGCACTGTAAGAAACGTTCGTCTCTTCGAACGGAAGGGCCCACCTGCTGAGATAGGTAGTATTCAATGTCCACCATAAAGGCCTCGCTATTGGCTTTAATTTCATCTGGATGTCTTGCCCTCTCCGCGAGTCCAGTGGAGTCCTGGAGAAAAAATTGAAAATTCGTAAGAGGTTAAGTGTTCGAGTGGTTTTCCAAAGATTTAGCCTAAGAATGTGACTTCACTGCTGGTTGCAAGAAAGTCCTCGGCAAACCTTGTCAACACAGATGATATACGGGACGGTGTCGCCTGCACAGCATCCTACATGATGACCAGCCTGTCTCCTCCTGAGAGCAACCTGCCATCGTCAAAGTATTCAAATCTAAGATCGTCAGTGGACGCCGAAATCAAAGAGCACCTGCTACCGACTGGCCAGCAACAATCAACGACCCCAGATATTAAGAAGGTTGCTGAGTGTGAGAAAAGCTTGATCAACAACCACTCGCTGATGATCTCATCAACCGCAGCCGATCCTTCAACCACGAAGAGATCAAAGATAACGCACTTGTCGAAAGCACTGTACCTGGACGTGTGGTTGGTTTTTTGCATCTGGGTAGTCTTCAGGAGCCTTGGTGAGAGATTTAGTGATGATGTATTTATCAAGCTCCACCTGCCCATTCCTCATGTCTTCTTGGAGCTGAGACATCAGATCATGAAACCATACGCAAATAAAATTGATGCAGAATGTCGATAAGCAAGCTGGTCAAACAAGTCCCGAATTTTGAGCCATCCCTCCATTCATTCTCTCAAGTTTCAATTTACTTTACCGCGTTAAGAACCATAAATATAGTACTCTAAGATAGTCAATTCAGAAGATCAGTACTTCTAATGTGACATCACCAACCAGGAGTATCAATGACCTGCGATAAGAACATGGCAAAAGCATGTATTTTGAGTACCTTTCTTAACTGGTTATGGATAGCTTCTACGACGTCTTCACGTGAACTGCACAAAGAACCAGCAACAGTAGATTCAGAAGCTGTAAGCACGATAAAGGCTATGATTGATTGGTCAAGAAGACAAAAGTGACCATGAGAAGCTTCGGGAATTACACTTCCCGGGCTTCAGCTGCGGCCTACGGCCTTCCTTTGGCATCAGTGATAATCCTGAGGTATGAGCTCTCAAGCGTTATCCGTCCAGGACAAGAGTGGCATCACTTGAAAGTTATCGATGAGTGAAGGATTTGTAAGATATGTACAATGTACAGTAATCTGATTCAGCCTGGTCTGACAAACACGTACAAAACATCGATGTCTTGCAAGAGTAGAACGTACCAACTAAACCCAGAAGCTCAAATAGTTAGTTAATCTGTAATGAAGTCAATAATGAAAAGAGAGAAACTGACCCTTCAGAAAGTATCTGTTCAAGAGCGAAGTTACCAATCTCCTTTGACAACGAACTCCAATCTCGCCTGACAATGTCTAGACCTTTTTGTTCCATAACCTGCATGGAGCAGTCAGAAAAGGGGTGTTACAGAAGACCTGAGCTTTCAAAGTATTCAAGATGAGTATAACTACGCAATTTCGTGATAAAGCATGGAATATTGAGGTCAAGGTTTCACCTCTCGAGGAGAACCATCCTTGCTTAGCTCAACTTTGACCGCAGCATATTTCTTCTTTTTAAGAAGAAGCATGCGTTTGAAGATGCCATCCATGTCTATTTCCAAGAGCCTGTACTTTCTGTTAACCTGCATCCATAGCAAGAAAACCTTTAGCTTTCTGCAGGTCTACAATCAGATTACTGACATTTCTTGCTCTTGATGTGAACATCAGAGACAAAAGACATAGCATGAATGACTTCTATGATTACAATTCGAGCTAGGATGTTAGGAACTGATTGCAACCTGGAACTCTCAAGCTGCAAAACCCTACAGAAGTACCTCTTTAATGACTTTTACACCAATCGCCTTCGCAGCAGCAAGGTCATCGAGTCCTGTATGGATCATGATTGAATCTGTGTCTCCATAGATCACCTACGAGAGGGAACAGTCAGTAGTAGCATGAAATATACACCAAACTTGCACTTCAAGATCACGAAACAGGAGCTTCGTGAAACTGAAGCGCAAAGAATTACCTGTTTCAACTGAAAGTGAAGCTCCTGAAAGTGTTTCTAGGAAAAATTTTATAATATCAACCAGCTACTGTTGGGACAATTATTTGGACAAAAACCGATGACCCGAACATTCTGTAAGAAGTACCTCGAGGTTCAGGTTGTTTTGCACTAGATCTACTGTGCTTTGCAGAATTTCACGACCCTGCATGGTGACCATATGAGGTTGAATACATAAGAATACATACTAAGAAACGAGAGACGAATGAAGAATAAGAGAACTGGCGATGAACAACTTCCTCTTATGGTTGCTACACTCGATACAAAACATCGTCAAGCATTTGAAAAAAAATATCTCCTACAGCTCACAACTTTCATCAACCCAGAGAAGACTCACGCACCTAAACTATAAACCAGATACAACATTGATGAGTAGACATACTACCTGAGAAGTGATGAGTTCTGCGATCGGTTTCGCATAAAATCGTGCATTTGTGAACCCCAGACACCCGTAGATACTGACAAGATAATTCACAAAGAGTTATGAAAATACGATTGGTCTATTACTTTTTGGTTCAAACTAGAAATTTTACTTGGAAACGAAAACAAGGTGCTCTTCGATGAGAGAATAATATCCCCGTTAGAAATTAAAATGGCAATGATAACATCTCATCTGATAACACTAAGTAACTTAAACAGTTTTGATACAATGAGCTGCCTGTGGCTGAAAAGGCGCTAACCTGTTAGCAGTTAGTTTCAATGCTTGCTGTTGGATATCAAGCTGACGATACTTAAGATCATCAGTGGTTTTCTTCAACCACGACTTGACTTGCCGTCTCCGATCGACGAGACCCTTCAACACCTGATAACCAATAGACATGAGTTGGGGTATAGTGTCTCAAATTCAACTAATGACGATGCAGGAAACGCAGAACTACAACAGAATGTTCGACGAGTAGACGAGACTTCCACGTTCTAGGAAGAGCTCTAAAGAGAATCACGGAACCAGAAATAAGTATACATGGAAGTCAAAGCCGGCAAAACGGATGCCAGTAAAATGTAAATCGAACTCGTGAGAGAGTGAACCTGAGGTAACACTCCAGGAGGCTCGCTAGAGGGTAGGGTGGGAATTGAACCATCCGAAGGTCTATCTACAGTCGTGAAGCACACATTGTATTCCTGCAAATGTCAGCATCGGCTACTCGCGTTAGCTAGACGCATTTTTCTTCGAAAGCCCATGGAGATTAACAAATACATACAGAAGACCAATAGAACATGCTCAACAAACACTTTCCAGGCATGTAGCACCACTCTCGTTAATCCCAACCATCAGTTCGACTCAATGTTCAAAGAGCCGGCAACCTAAAACAATAAGAATTTCACCTGTATAATTGAAGGATACAGACTGTTGAAGTCGAGCAGCAGGATGTACTTGTCATACAGGCCCTTTTTAGGCTCTAGAACAAGACCACCCAAGTATGCTGCACCCTTCTTCCGTTTACCACTGCCAGTTTGAGGAGCATCCACATAAGTCTCCTCGTCTATATTGTTCTCATCTCCAGCATTTGGTAGATCTTGGTCCGAGATTAACTTCCTCTTTGATGTGAGCCGTTCTCTTTCTTTAATTGAAAGCTTGTCTGGAACTATAAACTTCCGACTATAAAACTCGTGAAGCAGAAGGAACTCAACCCTTTGGGCCCTGTTTCCCTGAAAACCAGGTTGCACAACAAATTGGAAGTCTTAATCGAAATTGCAACGTGAAGGAGTGTTGCTGCTGCTCTGCTCGAAAGGCGAGTGATAGATCGAAGTGGACATCGAAAGGCGAGTGGAAGAGAATAGAGAAAGCTGCGAGCTTCATTCATTTCATCTTCTACATGTGAACTGTACATAAAGTATTTCAATAAGAGCTGGATCTGCAAAGGATGACTCTCACCTGCAAAGTTTTGCTCCACAAATTTCCACTGATGTTTGTCAACTGTCGCGACAATGGCAAAACACTGAGATGGAACATGAGGCCAAGAGCAAGCCATGCATCCGTCTCTCCAGATTCTATCTGTTTGGTAAAAGATCAGATACAGATGTTAATTCGAAGTTAAGGCAGTTTACATGTTTCATTCGTTAGCCGACTTGACACCTGAAAATAGATGAGAACATTGAATCGCTGTAGGGTTGTTCGCTGGCGTTTAAGACACACCAGTTCCAGAAGCGAAGCAGATGATCCGTACATAGCAGGAATATCTGATGGCACCAGTTCTTTGCGCTCCCGACCCAACTGGTTTCTGGATAGTTCTGTTAGCGAGTAGCTTGTCTGCACAGATCGAATACAGGAGGGAAAGGTTATACGGCGGAAGTGTCAAAATCATTCAACGACGAGCTTTTCAATTGTGAACCGTAGGTATGGCTTGTATGATGGTTACTGACTGTCCTTATACTCAACACGAATCTGCTTGCTGTGCTCAACAGTGACCTGAACGAACTAACGAATTAACAGGGTAAGAGGACCCGTTACCTGTCTCAATAGTTCGCGAGATGAAATATAAGTGTCACAAAGAAGTCGACCAGCTATACAGGCCATAGCTCCTGGACCTGCTCCTGAACCAAATGTATTCCCGTTGCCACCAAGCCTCGGCATCTGAGATCGCCTTAAGCGACCTATCTTTGACCACATCTTACTTTGAACCTTGCAAGCCTGTCCAGATAACTTTCAGAAATGGAAGTGCGGCCTTGTAAAAGTAACAAGGTTCAGTCCCTACTTTAAAGACATTTCTGACAAAAATCTTGCTTGCAGTCCAATAGAATCCCTATGTCTCATCCTGCAGATGCTCAGTTCCACATTGAGCTTATGAAGGATTAAAACAGGATCGTTTAAAAGATTTTTTTCTACTTCCCAGAGCAAAATAAATGAACGGCAATATTTGATCAAAACCTAGACCTGTTACTTACTTGTAGTCTATGAAGGAGCACATCAAGATCGAAGCCTGAGATATTGTGACCAACTAGCACGTCGGGATCCAGCTGATAAAGCTTCAGCATGAGGTGATTAAGCAACGCTCTTTCACTGGGAAAAAACAAGCATAGTCAATCCAAGATGATGAGGAGCCAACATGAGTTTGCCAATTGGCGAACAACGTATATGTTTAAGGCAAGATAATAATCCTTCATTCATATACGGGCTGACTTTTTGTCTTCCAGGGTAAAATTGCTCAAAAACTCCCCTGCGGTCACTCTGCCTGCAACTTGCGAACACGATATGTCTCCAGCATCATAGGTGAAGAGACGGATCGGGAGTGACCATACGTGAGATCATTCCATGCAAACAGGTCCTTATTATTTGTATCAAACAAGCCGACAGCCAAAAATATTCTGGAAGGGTCTCGAAGTACATGACGTGTGCCCAAAGTAGAATCCTACCTGCTCTCATGACTCAACACGTTCGAGCCGACTTTGCTGTTGAGATGAGCTACTTCTGAGGTAAATCCAACAGGAAAAATTCCACCATCAAGCTTGCGCACAATGCTGAAGTGGTTTAGCATTTCATGTGTATTCCACTCGGCTTGAGGCATTGGCATATCAACCTGAAGATGCAAATGGTTCAAATTAGACGTGAAGCAATTGTAAGTGCAACATGGCGTCAGGTTGATTTTTCAAAGAAGTCCTGTCAATTCTTCATACATGCCTCTGCACCGAGTGCAGAGCATTATCAAACTGTCAAGCTTACCTTCACATACTTGCAGGATACGACGGAAGCAGAAGCAATTTCATTTATGTTCTGCTTGTGGTTGATAACAGTTTTCAGGTTGATGGCTGCAACGACAAGCTTGGGTATCTCCATTGGCGCGTTTCCAGGAGGAGTGACTGCCAGATCCTTTGACGATTCCAAACTCACTTCTAACTTGCACCAGCTGACCTATTACATCCATTACATTCCATATCTTAGTGCTCCTCAACTCTGGTACGCAGCAGTCTGGTTAAGTTTAGTCCAAGGACATCTGTATATCACATGGCGATAGAATTAAGCTCCAGGAGACAGCAAAAAAGCAATTCGATCTGAATCAAATTGGCGTTAAAATTTTCCACGATACACAACAGGAGAGTTTGATACTCGACCAATGCACGCTGTACTTCCATGGATATAATCCTAAACACATACAGTCGTAATTTACAGGGCAGATTATGCCTACAAAAGCGCATCATGCCACTTAGTAGCGTACTAATGTACTGGGCTGCTAAGTAGCATGGCCAGCGAAAGAAGCACCTGGGAAGAGCTGGGACAGAGTATTGGGTTTGTAATACTCATCCAACACGGTCCTTTTATTCTCCTCTTGATGAGCAAGAGCTCCAAGGCGCTGCATCATGAACAAAAGCATACAGTTAGGACGTCATCTAACAGAGAAGGGAGCCTGTTATTCTCCGGCGACGCAATCAGGTTGACCAAACCAGCGAGTAACAGGAGATACGATAAGACATTATCCAAGGATTGGTAGAGACGTATAGCGACAGAGGTTTGGGACAACACAAACCTGGAGTGGCTTCCAAATATACTGGTGAAGTGAACACCGTGCAGATCGTGCGGCAGAGGAGGATCCTGCAGTGACCAAAATGTCTATTCAGATGCTGCCCGGGTAGTTGAGGAAAACTTGAAGATGCAGTGAAGGAATGGTAATAGAAAGCACCTTGAATGGATAGCTGAGCTTCATAAAATACTGTTCTCCAACAGGTACGTCGGGCCGTTCGAATGCGTAAGATCGCTGAGGACGTACACCAGTCGGGTGTTATCTCTCGACGTCGAGTAAAACAATGATAAAAGTGCATGACTTTGATACATCTTATGTCGTCTAGATCAGATGAGGATACTGACGATTTCTTACTCTGGCAAAACCAATCATTCATGCTTCCTCTTCGGCATGTTTAACAACTGTATATGATGAGCTTCGTGAGAAGAACATACCTTTACTGGAACCATACTAAACCGGCCAACATTCAGATCCAACAACTTTTCTGCAAGTTCCTGCTTCAATTCTTTTGCTAGTTCCTGCAGACGCACAATTGATAAGTATTAGGCATAAAAGAGGTCAACAAAGTGTACTCACATGAACCTTAATCAATTGCGAGCTGGGCATGTTCAGAGGTGACTTTCATGAAGAGGTTCTTCTCTCGTGCTTATAATTATAACGACTATGATAAAGGCTGATGGGTCAAACCTGCAGTTTTGCGTTTACAGCGGTTCTTCTAACATCTTTCGTCAACTTCGCCTCAATTTCAAGCTCCAAGAGTTTTGTGTCCGAAAACACGTAGGACGCAGGAACGGCAAAGACGCTACGCTGCAAGTTGCGAACGACCACACAGCAGCTCACAAACTCGCCTCCCTTCTTCACCTGCAGTCCAAATATCTCCCGGACGGTCAATCACGAAGCCAAGTGAACCAGGAATTTGAAGAGTGCTGTTCGACGATCCTATTCACCAAAATAAATTGCCGGAAAAACTTCGACATCGTCAAATTGATTACGAAGGTTTGGGCAAATTACCTTTCCGAAGAGATATACGGTACCAGGGTTGGCCCCAAAGGCTTCCTCGTATGCATCAAGAAAGTAGAAGGATAACTTGCCCTCAGCATCCAGAGGCAAAGCACCGCTAACTAATTCCAGATTCTCGTCAGCTGTTTCCTTTTTCATTACGGCGTTCGCTACCTTCTCCGAGCTACCATCCCGAATTGAGTGCCAAGCAGCTGACGCCCCTTCCATTGTTTGAGGACGCTCCACGATCTTCGCGTTGAGTCGAATTTTTGATTCGACTCTTTCAGCTGTGACCACATCGTCACTGCTAATGGAGACTTCAGCCACGTGATTGGATCCCATCTTCGGAGGACTTTGTTCCCGTTCGAACTGGTGCGACGGAAAATCATCAACCTCAGGAGAATTTACAGTCTCGCTCTTCACTACACATGAGATGTCTGGCACGCTTGGAGGATCGTCGATCACTTCCAATTCACCGGCCCTGACCTGGAGGGTTTCTAGGCGATCAGGTGCCCTGTCCGGTTGAAACGACGAGACGGGTTCGCTGGGCACAAAATGGTGACTTGCTGTTGGAATGCTTGGATAAGAAGGTTGTCTGAAAGCTTGTCGCCGCACTGCACCACCTCCGTCTGCAGCTCGCGAGCCTGCAGAATAGACGGATCTGAATTCTGAGTGCAAGTAAAACACACAACTCGCGAACTCTTCTGAAACAAGTGTCTAAAGTTCAGACTTTCAAACTTCCAAAATCAATACCGGGTCTGCATGGAACCAACATTCAAGATAATCTTCACTGTTCAACAATCCTCGACAACTCAGGTTGCACAAGAATGTCCAATCCAGTTGTCAAAAAAACTAGTCCAGTTTGCGCAAACTTGTAGTTTCTGGATTGCAGATTAACTGCAAAGACTAACCTCGCCGACGCTGTTGTTTTAGTTCGTCAACAGTTATCCCAGCAAGAATGTCATCGACGATACTGTCGGTGGAAATTCCAGATTTGTGCGCGGCTCCGTTCTCGTTAGTGGGACGTCTTCCAATTCCAGTATTGGAAGCAGCAGCGAACATACTTGTCACTTTACGCTTCCCCGTCAAGGCGGCTGCCGCAGCCAATTCAGTAGCTCTCTTACTGGGTGCAACCTTCTTCGGGTCTGAATGCAGTACATCTCATTAGTACATTCTCCAGTAAGAAGTCCCAAATTTCTTCAGCAAATCCCATTCCAGATCAATTTGACGTGGAAAACGTGCACCCGTTTCATACATTGAACATCAAGCACCTCCTAAAGTTCAGAGGTTTAGTCCAGCGGTGGCTGAGTTTGCACTAAAACATCGTTGGTCGTCAGAAATGCAACCGTAAGATACCACGCATGCCCGAGAAGAGACAAGTTCTGGCAAGCAAACAGAGTTCAATTCCTGGTATTCGATTCGAACTGTACAGCGCCAGCAGATCAACAAATGTATCGAAATCGGTACATTACCACGTGGTTTCTTTGGTTTGGTAGATTTGTCATCTTCTTCATCAGAAGCTCTTCCCAATTCCCAGTCGTCTTCTTCTTCGAGATAACCGAGACCGTCATCGTCAACGACGAATTCCTCGGCTTCCTGACGCCTTTTGGATATGTGCAGATTGTAATCCGCTTCTGAAAGAGTATCGTAGACCTTGTCTTCCAGTCTCACTTCAAAATTGTCTACACGCTTCCCGCCATTTTTTTTCAATGCCAAGAGTTCCTGGAGAGCTGAGGACCTCGCACTGGCCTGGGGATTGCTACACGTTCGCCTCCGACTCCCTTCGTTCTGCGACATTGTCTCGCTCCTCTGCTCACTCCGCTGCTTTGGGCGCCCAGACTGCAAATTTCTTCGGACTGGAACGACCTCAGCGCAAATCTCCTGCTCCTAGCATTCCGTGACCAGTCGGCCAGTCATCCTCCGGAACACGAACCGGTCCGTGGGATCCTTTCCACAGAGTCTCAGATTCCACCACGAGAAACTGAAAGCCAGGACCGTCAACAGCCGTTAAGACTCCCCATGCACTCGTGGAAAATTCCTCTCCGCGGAAATCAGAGAGCTCGCTCTGCGATTGTACATGAGTGGCAATTTCGAAGATGACCCGAGGGGCCAAGGAGATGAGCAATGCAGAAGCCCACGACGGAGAAATTCCAGCTCCGCAACCTCTGGACACGGCGGAAATTGAACCAGCTGCTCCGGAAATTTCTTTCGACACTGCGGCAGTTTTCTGGATCCAGTGCACAAGCGGGGGCCGGAAGTCGAATCCCAGTCAGGCGTTGCTTGTCAAAAGGCTCGGATTCCTCGATACGTAACGCGGAAGAGGGCAGCAGCGGACTGGCCTCCGTTGACCGAACGCTTCGGCGTCAAACATTCATAAGGTGGTCGAGGCGGGAATCGCCATCACGACGCGACAGCGGGGGCGGAAATAGAAGGGGCCGTCCAGCCTACGATGATAATGGAGGAGGAGGCGGGACGACCGGGCGCCTACTGGGCCGACCTACCGGATCAAGATCTTCATGGCGCGACGCTCAGGTCACTTTGGACGACCATCGCGATGCTCTCAGGCGGTCCAGTGTACATTTCTCGACCATGCGATGAGGCGGGAAAGCCACGCGAGAGCGGGAAAGTGCTCCTCGAGCTGCCGAATTAGACGAAGAGATAGTTACAGTGACTGGATGACGGCACATCGCCGGTGACCAAGATTCGCGCCTGTCCGAAATCGGTCGGAGCCGCGAAGATTGCCCAGGGCCCGTCAGAAATCCCGGGTGTGACCTGGCAGAGCCGTGATCCGTCGCCTTGATCTACGACAGGCCACAAACTCGCGGAAGTTGAGTTCTAGAACGTCCACATCGAAACAGCGAGGGAGGGAGGCGGGACAGCGCCTCCTCATTTGACTACGATGTCGGTTGCCCGCACTGCAGTCCGGCGATATCTTTACGGATTTCCTCGTTCTTTCTTTCACGTCTCAGGCTCCTCGTTCCATTTTCTCCCCGGGATAGAAATGGCGAACATGGCTTCTTCATCTCGGTGATATTCCAGAACGACGAGGCCAGCACGTAGCCTTAGTTTCAGTTCGGCCTTTACACCCTGCTCTTCTTATCGCAGGCAGCCCTTTTAACGATTCTCGGAATATGCTCCCAACGACGATTGTGTTTTCCAATGATGGATGAGTAGCTTTGAATCTAGCAGCTCCAATGAACAGTTGGAATCTTTTTAGAACTAGAGTAGGCGAATACCACAGAAAATCTGCATTCTAGTTAGCACTTGTAACGCCTCATTGCGATGTCATTTGTATGTACATCAGGTTCATATGCATACATTTATGTCATGAGATAATTCATCCTCTTAAGAGATATATTCACCTTAGCACACATTAGCATTATAATCATGAACCGTTATGGGATCTGTACTGATTATTCAGTCATATATCCGTTCATATGCATAAATTCATGTCAAAAGATAATTCATACTCTTAAGAGATATATTCACATTAACACACATTAGCATTATAATCATGAACGTTTATGGGATCTGTACTTATTATTCATTCATTTTTCGCAAGCACATTGCAATTCGTGCTTAGCTCTCTTTTTATTTTTCATGTCTCATGCATGATAACATCGCAGTTGGATAGAGAAAATAAAGATCCATTGCAATCAGACTATTTATTATTATTATTAGTATTATTGCAATATCATCCCCACTTTATTCTACGATACAGTTTAAAAAAATCTGTCGATCTAAAATATTTGAGTCTTCTTTTCCCGGTTTGCATGTATCATGCAAACCTGGGTTATGCATGTACTTTTCTGTCTGGTAGTTAATTCAGAGTCTGTACCTATCAAATCATTTGAAAATGCTTCTACTGTTTGCGATTGTGGATATTTGAAGAAGTATACTTCTTTTAATTCTCCTTAGTAAAACATATTAGCAGAAAGTCCCGTTAAGATTTTTTGTAGCTTTAGAGAAACATGGACTAGTATGGGTCACTCTAAATTTTGATGAATGAGATACACATCTACGTTATATATGCAAGCTTTGTGATGTAGAAGAATGTGAACAAAATTGCATATAATTAGCTTTAGAGTGAATACGTAATTTCCTTCCTACAACGTACACTATATCGTACATATAGGTAGTGAATATTTATGATATAACATCGTCTGTTTTTAGGAAGCGAAGAGAAGTACTTGTACGTAGAGTCAGACCTCCAAACATGAAAGTATTGATCAATCTAATATTTAACAGGTTTCTTCTTATTCTTTCGATACTATAAATATATATATATATATATTATTTAAAAAATTTTCGAGCTCCATATTATATTAGGATGACATGTAGGGAATTTGAAGAACTTCATGAAATTAATGTTCAAAGTACTCGGAGATGGAAGATGATGATAAGAAAGTCGTAATAAGGAGGAGAATAAAAAGAAGAATTCGTCTTATGATATACGTGGACAAGATCGTTGAAGAAAAATGAAACAACATAATGAAATTGTTAAAGTATCGAAAGAATATGGAAGAAACTTGTGACAGTTAGATAGCTGTAAGGAGGAAGAGTTTGTGTGACGAACCTCATCAATCAAAAATAGGATTAGAACAGGCACATCCACAGTTTTATGGTCGTAGGAGTTGAACAGCTGGAAACTCATCAACATCAAATGTTGTGCTAGTGCTCTACCTTACGTGTGCTGCACATGAAGAGGAGTAAATAGACTGCCATATGTCAACAGCTTGGCCAACTGTTACTGGCCGGTCAAATGCCTTGTAGTGTGTCCAAATTGAGAGATTTGAAATTCTCCAATTAGTGGAAGATCCTAGAAAGAGAGGAAAAGTCAAACATTTTCTTAGATATTAGCCTACAAGTTGGTAGAAACCATGCCTACAGTACAGATGGATGGAGTTTGAGCCCCTTTAGACAGGGATGATAGACTTGCGCACATGTCGAATATTCTCGAAGCTATGTTCTGTCTTGATACAAAATATCAATATGTGTCAATATTGCTGCTTTGATGTTTATCCACCTCCGAAAAAGGAGGAGTAAAAAATAAAAGGAAAATCGAGACCGAGTGACTTCGAAGGAGGTACCAAGTAGAATAGCGCAGACAGGACGGGAAGACCGCATCAAGCCGATAGGAGATACCAACTTTCCAGATGGGGTACTAGAAACGACTGCCACAAATAGAACAAGGTTCGTCATGCATTCCATCCTCACCGTTGAACTCAGTCAAATTGTAGTCAAAACAGGAGACTGAGTGCAGTCAGTTTGAAGTTACCTGGTTGGCTACTAACGAGGATCCAAGTCAGAGCCAAGAGGAGAGGAGCCTGCAGTAGTTCGTACGGTAGTTAAAAAACGTTGTCCTGTAACAGAACCTACTGGCATAATGTTCTCATATTAAAAGCATTAAAAAAGTCGGAGAAACCTGCTCATGATCATCATGCCTGGCCATTCTTTTTCAAAACCAGCAGGGGTATGATCCTCGATCCCCCTTTGAGACCCGTATCCAAGGTTTCACGCATAGCATTAATCTGCCGTGTACAGTTGTTGTAGACATCCACGAGAGATAAATGTAGTAAAAATTCGGTAAAATGCAGAAAACTATACGAAAATAGATAACTTATAGCAACTTGTGCTATGATACAGCGTTTTACTGCGTGCTATATTTGAATGATATGAATTTCTTCTGATTAAATTTCTTCAAAAAGAGTGACTTTGGTAAGAATTGAATCTTCAACTGAGTAAGTATTGATCTTTTTCAACCAACATACGCGTCACAAAGTACTTGATTCAGATGAATTTTAGCTAAATTCTCATATTTTGTAAAATGTACAAGTAAAGAACAATGTGCCGATGATAATTATTATAAAAAATTTAGATAATTAGCTACTACTATAGTTACGATACGTTGACTACACCCATACAATAAAATCAATCTTTTATCCAAAGAATACATGAATGTTTTTTGAAACCATATTATTAAGTTTTCGAGTATATTTTGAAATTTATAAGAATAAAAATATAATATCATAAAAGATAAAATTGTCTTCTTTCTTCTTTATAACATCCTTTTCCAAAAAATTTCAAAGTCATATTTGAAGGGCAAACAATGAATATGGAAGTGCCTAGTTTCTTGTGACTAAGATTTTTCCATGTGTTTTAAATCTAGAATTTCGGAATGAGATGTAACCCAAAAAAGAGATTAAAAGATTGTCCTAAAATAAGAAAATGTGAAATGTCGTAATTTAGTTATCACTAATAGAACTGTGACGTTCTTACCTGGTGGAATGGGAGCTCATCTTACGCGTAGAGACCGCATCCGTTTTCTGTGTGTCGCAATGATTCCTGGAAGTCTGTCGGAAATGCAGAATATGATCTTCCTGTGTGTACTCCATGATATCCACTAGCATTAATGTTTGATCTCCACATTAGAGTTAATATTAGCTTACAACAGATGATAATATTACATTGGCCTAATCGACGTGTTGGATACAAGAAATCACCGAGAACCGTGAAGCGAGCATATTTTAATCTCATAAATCAGCAATTTATTCGAAGCACTTGGGTGAAAAGAAGGCAAAAGACAGCGTCCGGTAGAGTATCTTGGGGCATTGAGTACCTCGCAGGGCTGTGTACGGTGATGCCACAGCGCCACCCGAATTTTGTCCGCATGCCATGCCATAAGGAGGCGCTCACGCCGGATGCAACCGAGGCCTCGAAGGGGTTAGGTCAGTCCTCGGCGTTGCTTTCAACCGTAGTTGGTGCAGAGCATAGTTCCACATCGGTGGCTCATACTCCAGCGGTAGTGGCGCGATGAATTCGCGAGGGGGCTCAAAGGTTCGTAATGTGCCACAGCACGGGAGGGAAACGAAAACCGCAGCCGACGTCGACGGCCGTCACATCACCGGTCTGCGCAACGGGAAGGCCGGAAGGAAAGGCGAGCTTCGCGGGATGCGTGAGAGAGGAAGTGACGCAGATCGCGGGTGCCGGCGATGGGAGCCCCGGCGAAGCGCGAACGGAGCGGGCCCTCCGTCCGTGGCCGCAAACCGTCAGGTGCAACGGAAAGAAATGCAGAAACCTAAAGAGAGTTGGGGGAAAGAAAAGAAGGGCGAGGAATCGGAAAAGAACATCGAGGAAGGCAGGCAGGCAGGCAGGCAGGCAGGAAGGAGAGGGCAGGGGCAGGGGCGGGGCGGGGCGGGGCAGGGCAGGGCAGGGAGGGCAGGCGAGGCAAGGGTGGGCGAGAGGGAGCGAAGGGGACGAGGGGCGGGGGTCGGGGGAGGGAATTTCACCAGCGTGCGAGAAGCAACTGAGAGCTCGACGACGCCGAGTCGACTCTCTTGCGAGAGAGGAGAGGAGGGAGGGAGCTGGGCGTGGACCAATAGAATGGACAGGCTCTAGGACACACCACACCAGCACAAGCTTTGCTTGCGTTTGCTCGTCGAGAAAAGGAGGATTGGAGCGATTATTGGTGCGAGGGATAGGACCCTCCTAGGTTTGCGACGCGGACGAGACGAGGGAGACGACGTTCGACGAGCGTGCGATACAGGGCGCGCGAGTGTCAGAGAGAGGGGGAGGAATATGTGTCGAAACCTCATCGATGCCACGCTCACACTCCGGACCTTAACCACCACCGAGTACAGAGGACTCGAGGTATAACGAGAATCGACAATAGTGAACTTGTCCAGGCCTCGACGAGAGCGCGGGAAGAACGGGGTTGAGGCGAGGCGGAGGGAGGGAGTGAGGTAGTGAGGGAGCTGAGGAGGAGAACCAAAGCAAGAGGAGATAGTAGGCGGCACGGGGAGAGATGGCGGAGAAGCTGTTGGACTTTACGCAGCCGTTTGATGTCGGGCTTCTTGATGCCACTGTCGCTGCTTTTTACGGCACAGGGTCGAAAGACGAGGTACTATTGACTCTTTAGATGATTGTGTGGACGTCGTCTCGTCGTCTGTAACGGCATCCACTTTGAGATGTGCCAATTGAAGGACTGGAATTCGGCAAATTTGATCGGAAATTTGACAGAAGGGTCCATTCCGGTGCCTAGTTTGCATCTTGAGCCTAGAAGACCGTCTGAGGTCTTGTTAAGCTGCTTCCGCCTCGACCGCGCTCACACTCGCACATTGCTTTCTTATCAGAACAATGTAGGCCAGAGTCCGGATGTTTCAAATCGACGGTGCAGCTGTAGGGATTACTTTCGCTGTGTACTGTAGGTTGTCGAATCTTTGATCACCTCCGAGTATATTCTGACATCAAGACTTTCCTCCTGCATTTGCCAATTCTCAATGTTGAAGACGATAACAACCCTAGGTTTTAGCGGAGCACATCTTTCCGAGAAGTGAAGCACGGCCGTATCACGAAAAGACTACGAATACGTAGACGCCATTTAAAGAATAAGACGACTTTTGCACGATCTGCAGATTTAACCAACCTTTCGCGAACAGCAGACGTTCGAAGTCTGTCTTTGATCTAGACCAAATAGAAACTCCTCTGAATTTACGGTGTTCATTTTGCAGAGGGCAGCGGCTGAGAGAATCCTCAGACAGTTGCAGGAGCACCCTGATACGTGGACTCGCGTCGTGACTATCTTGCAAAATTCGGGGAACTTGAATTCGAAGTTTTACGCCCTTCAGGTCCTGGAAGGTGTCATCAAGTATCGGTGGAATGCCTTGCCGATGGAACAACGGGATGGGATCAAGAATTACATCTCAGACCTTATCGTTCAGGTGACAGCTTGCCACAATTATACAGTCTTGTCAGCTTTTGACCATCTTGGTGGGCTGAATACGTATAATCACCAGCTCTTCTTAGAAAACGGACAGAATCATTAGAGCTTTCTTATTGTCGAGTCGGGAGACGCATGTATCAGACTTTGATGTTCTTCAGTGCATGTCAAGTCTAGTCTCTTTTCAAGAGATAAGAACGCTAGGTCAGTTTCTTTGGTTGGAAACGGCATGACCACATTTTGCCCAAGGGTTTACAGTGTCGGGGGCTCTCAATTTTGATAATTCATTTGGTCATTGTCAATATCGTTATGTACTCTTGCCTTCTTAAACCTGCGGTCTCTCATCTTTAGATTCTTACTACACCCTGAACTCTGCTTCTTGGTGTCTGTCGCGTCCTGGTAGAGACAGTTTCCGTTTTGGTGTGTGGAATATTACATGTATCGCTTATGCTCGAAAGGTGTTGATGGTCTAATTTCACAGTTATCAAGCAACGAGTCCTCATTTCGACATGAGCGACTTTACGTCAACAAACTGAACATCATTCTAGTTCAGGTAAGCCGAAAGTCACCTCAAGCTAGGTCTTAAACATGCAGGTTGAGAGTCATGTAGAGCTGGTAAATCGGCTCTAGAAGATCACGGATGTCATTTGTATATTCAAAATTTCAAAAACGTGCGATTATGTGACATGTGTCTAAGATGAGCTGAAATTGCGAGTTTGATCGACAGACATGCCGACTTCGTTGGTTTCATTTTGGAGGGAAAATTGGACACATCTCATTGCCTCTCTAGATGTCAATAGAGTAGTCTGCAGCCTGTATGCTTTTCTCTATGAAGAAAACCTGGGGCTCATCGTACGCAGCTTAGAATTATTTGGGGCAGAGTCCAAGCTTCTGTATCCTTCACGATAAATCAACTCATTGAGAATTAAAGTACCCCTTTTAAATCGAGAGCGTAGTTTTTTATTCTCAACGAGTGTAGAAAATTGACATGTCGGGGTGATTTGATCAACCGTACTGGGTGATCTTCTCCGCATCAAAAGCTTACCCGTAATCACTTCTTAGTTGGGAAGAGAGTTTGAAATATTTGTCAATGTTGATTTCTCTCGCTTTGGTAAACATTATTAAAACATGTATAATGTCCTTGTTCAGGTTCTGAAGCATGAGTGGCCTGCTCGGTGGCCCAGATTTATACCGGATCTCGTGTCAGCTGCAAAGAGTAGTGAAACTCTTTGCGAAAATTGCATGGTTATTTTGAAGGTATTGCCAAAGAGATCCACTCTCAGATCACGGATATGTTGTGACGACATCTTTCATGTTTGGGGTCTTCGACAGTTTTAGTGTGGTATCTCCGTCTGTTTGCAACTTCTAGTTATGTATTGTCCATCCTAAACGAATGTAATCATCGTGCATATGCGTCATTGTGAGGTTTCCCCTCCACTTTGAACTGTGCTCTGCGAATTCCGAGGATTACCCTGTTTCTGAGAACTTTCAATATATTCAGTTTTCTCGCAAGGCATGTTGTTAACATTTGTTAATTTTGTTCCTTGACAGCTCCTAAGTGAGGAAGTTTTTGACTTTTCTCGGGGTGAGATGACGCAAAACAAGATCAAAGAGCTCAAGCATTCACTTAACAGGTAGCCGCCGTTTTGTCTGATCACATGAATATCACTTGTCGTGCCAACGTTTACATGAAAGATGAACCTGTACTCGTTATGTTCTAATGTGCTGGGTCTTTTGCCAAGTTTTTGGTTCTAAAGGAGGGCTGCTTATCGGATCTTTGCAGTGAATTCCAACTGATACACGAGTTGTGTCAGTATGTCCTGTCCGTCTCTCAACGGCCCGAGCTAATTCGAGCTACGTTGGCCACTCTGCACGCCTTCCTATCCTGGATTCCTCTGGGATATATCTTTGAGTCATCTTTGGTAATGTCACGCAACACGGATATTATCTTTCTTTAACATATGTACATTTACCATGGAACCGAATCTTCAAAAAGTGGGATTGATTCTTTTCTTTTCTCTTTATTCTTGACCTGTTTGGGAGTGCAGCTCCTTCTGCATGATATTTTATGCATTAGAAGTCAGCTCTCTGGCATAACAGAGCTACCTGAAATCCTCGGGCACTTCGTTTAGTCTCTAGCCGTGGGTGCTAATTAATTTTCTAATCTAAACTTTAAATTGGTTGCAGCTGGAGACTCTTTTGAAGCTTTTCCCAATCGTGGCCTACCGAAATCTTGCTCTGCAGTGCTTGACGGAGGTGTGATCTTCATTTCACTTTGTTTTTGATTTGTTACTTACATGCGTGTGCGTCACTTGCCATAGTTTTTTGTTGGCTGGAAGATAGCGTTGCGCTTATACTGGATTTGCCGGCCGGAGGTAGAACTTGTTGAAGAAAAGTAGGCATTTTCACGTTATTCCTGGTTGATTGACTCCATGTCATTCCTGGTTGAAGTTTGTTTTGCCCGTTCAGGTTTCATAGGAGACTCACGGGACTGATCTTGAATCCTATCTATTGATGCAGGTGGCTGTCCTTAGCTTCGGGGATTTCTATGACTCTCAGTTTATCAAGCTCTATACAATCTTTATGGCCCAGCTGCAGGTACATCTTGGTCATTGTTTTAGCCTGCTTTCTACATCTGCTTTCATGGCATTCCGAACATGGCCGTCAAGTTTAGTCTCTTATCAGTGAGAAGAGGTCGCTCACCTAATACTACCTATCTCGCTACCATTTTTTGCATTCTGAGCTGTCTGGATTTCATGCTCATGATGACACTCGTTCGGACATTTGCAGATTATTTTACCTCCCGGAACACATATCCCAGAAGCATATGGCAGTGGTTCCGATGAAGACCAGGTAATCCAGGATTGCTTCTTATATCTGCACTGTCTGCTGCCGATCTCTGTGGTTTGCATATGTCATTTCCTTCCAATTTTTTCCCCCTGATATCTACATTCGAAAGCTGTAGATCACATGGTTGGTATGTTTGCTGTTGCTTTAATGCGTGTCCTGTGTCCTTGCTTCAAAAGCGTGTATCCCTTTATTTGAAGCCTGAAGTCGAGCCGAAGGAAGTCTCTTACTAATTTACTATACAGAGTTTCTGAAGTTCCACTTAACTGGATAATTACAATCTGTAAACAGTTCTGGAATCGTAGATTTTGAAATCGTTTTGGTACACGAGTTTTCATGGAACCAGGTTTTGGTTTTTATTGTCGAAATGCTGTGGACATGGATGGGCACTTGAAAGTGACGGTTTCTCTTCATACGGCGGTCACTCTTTGCTCACTACCGTTTCCTGCTTCTTTCTTTGCAGGCTTTCATACAGAACTTGGCTCTTTTCTTTACGTCCTTTTACAAGGTCAGTAGAAACTTCTAATTCTCGAGTGATAGTTCCTTCATTTGTTTGGATTTTCTGGTTTCTTCCTATCTCAAGTAATTTCTTGTACTAGCCTGTATTCTGACATTTTTCTCAATGACAGTCCCATATCGGAGTGATGGAGGCAACCGCAGAGAACCAAAGCGTTCTTTTAATGGGTCTTGACTACCTTATTGGGATCTCGTACGTGGATGACACCGAAGTATTTAAGGTACGTTTGTACTGCAGCCTTCAATCCGTATGCACAATTCCGCCCGTGTGCAACTTGACTTATGGAATGTGTAACTTGTTCAAGGTCGACGTACTTCGAACTTTATTCAACTTGTTTTGATTGTCTCTTTCCTTTAAGCGTCGTTCGCTACGTATTTGAGATGAGAAAATAATGTATTGGAGGTTAGTCTCTTTGGAGGTTCTGGCGGTTCCGGCTCTGATCTTGATCCGGGACCACATGTTCATCTATCATGCTTCTTAATTTGGCTTCATACATCCAAGCCAGAGGCTTACTTTGGGAAAATGACTACAGGTTTGTTTGGACTACTGGAATTCTTTAGTCTGTGACCTTTTCCAGTCCGAGTGTAACATGGAAACACCAGCCACCGCAAGTCCTTTGGGCCTACAGGTATTGTTACGTGTCCATATCTCAAATTGTTAATTCACTGTTGCCCTTTCTTGTATGACTGGATGAAGCAGTAAGGAGTGCATGCTTCTATTGACGGTGAACGGAGATGGATTTTGCACCCGGAACGAAATGTCTTATCATATGAGTATAGAGGTTTCTTACTACCTGAAGCTAATGTCATCAGGTTGGTCTTGGTGTAACCATGGGAGACGGTCTCGGTTCTCAGTTGTCACACCGGAAGCAGCTTTATTCTGGGCCACTGTCAAAACTCCGACTGCTCATGATTAGCCGGATGGCCAAGCCTGAAGAGGTTTTGATCGTCGAAGACGAGAATGGTAACATCGTACGAGAGACAATGAAGGACAACGACGTTCTTGTCCAATATAAGGTCTGTTAATCACCGAACTTTCCGTTCCTCATTAGTGACTTGATACGAGGACACGTGTTTTGCATATACGTGATGAAAGTAAGTCGAATACTATGATCTGATATTGGATCTGCCTCATGAATGTCATTTGCTCTGTTTGGAGTCGGAACTCGTTGTTCGATGTTGATCAATCCTTGGACCTTGAGACAAGTGTCAAATGCCAAATGAAGGATTGGTACGCTAATCGGACTGGGGTTTCACGGTGGTTTTCAGTCGGTGACATGGATGTAAACAATATGTGTTCTACAAGTTTTCTTACTTCCTCTGGAATTTTGACAACTCTTTGTCAGTCAGTAGAGTTGCAAAGAGGTTAGATATCAAAGCTTACTAGGTTGGGCTAGTTCAGGCGTCTGTCTTAAAGAACATAGCTCTTTTTGGACTTTGGATGTTGGATACAGATAGCCTTTCTTGTCTGCCCGAGCCTTCAAGACTTAGAGAAGGAGAGATGATCTTGAGAGCTCTTTTAGAAGCAATCAGCTCACTTGGAGATATGGATAAAGAGATAGCGGTGCGGTATGGTAATGCTATGCACTTATAAGCCTTCTTGTTCTCCAGATCATGCGAGAAACTCTGATCTACTTGTCCCATCTGGACCACGAAGACACTGAACAGCAGGCAAGTTTTTCTGTCCGTATGTCTGCTTATCTTCTCGTTTTCAAGTCATTGGATCTGCACGAAGAATCGGGTTACGTCCACACTGGTATTTAGGTTCGTGTCATAGGTCAACCGTCATTCTTTTGTTAGCGGTATTGTCGTTGATTGTTTTTAAAGTTTAATATGTGAATTTGTCAACAGATGCTGAAGAAACTGAACAAGCAGTTGAACGGAGAAGAATGGGCTTGGAATAATCTGAACACTCTTTGCTGGGCTATAGGATCCATTTCAGGATCCATGGTTGAAGATCAGGTAAATTTTAAATGTCAGCCAGAACGTCGCTCGAAACTAATGACCGAATCTTTACGCAAAGAATTCTTTACATTGATGAGAAGTATATTATAAGGACGACTTCTTCATTTTGTCCTTTTACTCCATTATGAGATCAATGCATCAAATCTTCCAAATGCGGAACTTATTCACGTTTTGTGCTGATCAGTCTTTCATTTGACCTTTTTTTTACAGGAAAATCGATTCCTAGTGACGGTCATACGTGATTTACTCAATCTTTGTGAGATTACTAAGGGCAAAGATAACAAGGCGGTGATCGCCAGCAATATCATGTACGTCCTTATTAAACTCCTCTGAATCATAGCTGGAACTGTGAAATTCTTGTACTGAAATGTTTATCTAGTTCTCAAAAGGTGTCAGTCTGTCTTAGCGTTGTCGTTTTTCCATTGTTGCACTCTCGATTTTTGCCGTATGGTGTACTTATCATGACGAGGTGGACTCGGTCCCAAGTCTCATCACCGCAGTGTTGAAACTTTGGAATTGAAGCTTTTTCATCATAAACAAAGATCTAATTTAGTGTCTCTCCGTTTTTGCAGGTATGTTGTGGGTCAATATCCGAGGTTTCTAAGAGCCCATTGGAAGTTTTTGAAGACTGTTGTAATTAAACTGTTTGAGTTCATGCATGAGACCCATCCAGGTGTACAGGTAAGAATGATTTGATCTAGAAAATATCTTCTCTACCCTTTTAATTCAAGCACCAAGTTTTAAATTGGTGGGCCACATTTTGGTAGTCTACATACCCTTCATTTCTCAGAGAGTGGACGCTGAATTTGATCCAGTTTCTGTCTTCCGACTCCTGCACTTGCTTTGTTATGTGCTTCTTTGGAGACGGTAAATATGAGTCCAGTCTCCTTCATTTGCATAAGGGACCTGACTTGATCACTTTCCAACGAAATTGCTTCCAGGATATGGCTTGTGATACGTTCCTGAAGATTGTTCAGAAGTGCAGACGAAAGTTTGTAATTCTTCAGGTGCGAATTTCCTACTGTACACTTTTCTATAAGAAAGATCCTCTGCACCGGAGACTTTTGCACTTTCCTTAGGGGATCATGCCTCATTGAGTCTACGTGTGATTTGTGTGGAATTCAGGAGGAAAATTATCTGGATCAACTTGATTTTTGTTAATCATCTTCACTTTGTGTTCAGGTCGGAGAAACGGAACCTTTTGTTTGTGAGCTATTGAAGGGATTGCCAACCACTATTCTTGATCTTGAAAGCCATCAGATTCACACCTTTTACGAAGCTGTAAGTTTATTGAAGAGCATTGTTTCTCCTGATTGGTTGAGTAAACTACCTTCCCAGTTTATTCTTGTCGCCTAGGCCGGCACCTCCGTGGGCCTCCAGTTAGTCGCAGAGTAGACGTCTTCCTTGATAAGTACAGACGCTGTAAGGGTACGTGCAATGATCTCTTTTAAGAAATATACTTATGACGTAAGGTGGTGTTTGTATATAGGTCGGATTCATGATTCAAGCCGAAGGAGACTTACAACGACGAGATGAATATCTCCAAAAACTGATGGAGCTTCCTAACCAGGTATCAAGTCTAAGTCCACCATGGGATACCTGATAATCGAAAAGGAAATGAGAACTTCAACTCTATGGTTAATCTTCGTGTCTAGGGGCTGATCGCTTTGTGTGTTTACAGAGATGGGCAGAGATCATTGGCCAAGCTCGCCAAAGTGTTGATTACTTGAAAACTCAAGATATTATCAAGGCCGTTCTTAACATTCTTCAGGTCCGTGCTAATCTGTTTCATCAAAATTTTTATACAGAATGAAAACACGATAGACCATAATTGGTCTATGAAGCACTGAGGATCATTATGCTCATTTAACCATTTTTTTTCAAGTTGAAAGGCGTATTACTCATTGGAGATGAGAGGAATTCTGAAGCATTCGTTTCTCATGATCTACAGACAAACACGAGTGTGGCGAGCTCCCTGGGCCAAGCTTTCCTTTCCCAAATCTCCCTAATCTACTTGGACATGTTGAATGTGTACAGGTAATATTCAGCTTCTTGCGGCCTTTTTGAATCTGAGTGTGTGGTTGAAGTGACTTTCGTAAAGTCGGGCAGCTTCTGTTTTCAATTAAGAAGTTGAATTTTCTCTAGCTGTGAACAATGTACTTGCCTTGAATCACTGTTCTGAGAGAAGTAATAGTTGTCTGATTAATATCTTTATACAATCTAAAACAATTTTTTTGTAATTTTTTTGGAAATGAGACATGAGTCGTAGAAGACTTCACAGCAGAGCCCTGCAATGGGTACCCATACCCATACCCATGGGTAAATGGGTGGGTAATGGGTATGGGCTAGGATGCATGGGTGGGTACTAGGAATGGGTGGGTAATGGATGGGTATGATAGAGCCCATCTTTAAAACGACTGAGCTAGATGACTTAGACCGACCTCTCGGATGAAGTGTAAATAAGAAGATCCTTGGATTAACTGTAATCAAATACCAGATCTGACGAAGGTTAGAGACGTGAGCTTCGTAATTTGCGATCTGTAAGCGCCGCCTCGAGCAAACATTGGGCCGTTTTCAGGCCGCAAGTCCTATCGCTAAAACTAGAACTAGGTAACTTAGTGACTGCGCCATCTTATGCCCGATAATCTGGGGCAGAGTTAAATAACTCTGAAGTGCTCTTAAGTAATTTCATTTTGGTGGTGGACTCATGGGTATGAGTTGGTTATGGACAAGGTGTCATGGATGGGTAATGGGTGGGTAATGGGTATGGAAAAGTTGCCATGGGTGGGTACAGTTGACCCACGCGGGGTTGTGAGTTGGGTATGGGTTCTGAAGCCCAATGCAGGACTCTGCTTCACAGTCAGTGACCTCTTTATAGAATCGGGTACTCTAAGTTTACGTATGATACATTTAATTAAATGTCTAAATACAGGTGGTAATCTCCTACTGTGCATATCAATAGATCTCAAAAGTTTGGCAATCGGGACCTATGTTAGATTTTTATTATCTTGCCGCATGGAGATTGTTTGGTCTTTCTTTTTTACTGGAGGGAATATTGTGGTCCTACGCATGCTTCTTGAATACCTCTACATAGAAGTTTTGGGCTGAGGAAACCACCTCTTTACATGTCACGACCCTCCATTCTTGGAAGGTCACGTCAAATCTATTCGTTACAATTCGGTCATGTTCATCACATGTCTCACCTACACGCACATCTTCCATATCCCATCGTGCAAGGTCTGTGTGCTACTTTTGTTCGTACATATCTCTAACTATGGCCGACGCTTCCTGTCTCACCAAGTGAAGATTCTCTTGTGGAACAGAATGTACAGCGAGCTTATATCTAGTAGCATCGCAGATGGAGGCCCTTATGCTTCACGGACTGCTTACGTGAAACTTCTGCGGTATGTTAAGAAGCCACCTTGCTTGTCTTCATACCAGCTTTAGACATTACTTGATCCGTGATCTTGTGGAAGGCTTTCATTTTAGGTTTATCGACAAACCCCATACTCGATTTATTGATTGGAGGTGTGTTGATGCAGGTCTGTCAAGCGAGAGACGCTGAAGTTGGTAGAAACTTTTGTGGACAAAGCAGAAGACACGGAACTGATTGCCAAGCAGTTTGTCCCAGCAATGATGGATCCTATCTTGGGGGATTACGCAAGAAATGTCTCTGACGCGAGAGAGTCTGAGGTGCTCTCCCTATTTGCAACCATTATCAACAAGTAAGCGCTTCTAGGTCCTACATTAACACTTTCGTTGTTTAAGTTCGAAGGTTGCCTCCATGAAAGTTGATGCTGCTTTTCCCGAACTTGCATTGTGCGCCTGGTGGTTGAGTTGTTTCTCAGCAGTTTTGAGAGTGACCTCTGTAGGTTGAAGGTGGCTATGATTGAGGATGTTCCTCGAATATTCGAAGCTGTCTTTGCTTGCACGTTGGAGGTAAGGATTCAGGTTAAGTCGAAGGCAGTTGGTTCTATTTTGCCCATAGCAAGACCAAAGTTTCAAGTGAAAGCATAATATGTTCATTAATGTCGACAGCAGTAATTTACTCAAGATTTGTTTTTGTGCTCAACCGTTGGTGTTCTGCCGTGGGATTTATGCTCATCTAAGAAGGGGTGATTTTTGGTCCAGATGATCACTAAAAATTTCGAGGATTACCCCGAACATCGGCTGAAGTTTTTTTCGCTGCTAAGAGCAATAGCCAGCCACTGCTTTCGTGCTCTGTTCACTCTCTCAAGCCAGGTAGCCACCCATATACGCTCAAATTTTCTGTTGTATCAGATTTTCATTGCGTTGACCTCTATGTGTACGTGACATAATTTCCTTATATATTATTCCGTTCTATTAATGCACCCGTGCTTCGTTTCTGGGCTTGGAACAGCAACTCAAGCTTGTCATGGACTCAATAATCTGGGCTTTCCGACACACGGAGCGAAATGTGGCTGAAACTGGTCTCAATTTACTGCTGGAGATGCTCACTAATTTCCAGGTTAGTGGAAGCTCACAACCCAGCTTCATCGGTCACTCCCACGAAGACTGAGGTTTTTAAGTGTGCGGAATCTGTATTGTTATAACCCGTTTACGCCATTCCGCAACATTTGGTTTTCCGTTTTTGGTTATCATCTCTTGACATGTGCTTGGTTGGGCTGCAGGCATCAGAGTTTTGCAATCAGTTCCATCAGACGTATTTCTTGACTATCGAGCAAGAGATTTTTGCGGTGTTAACAGACACATTCCACAAACCTGGATTTAAGCTCCATGTCCTGATACTACAACATCTTTTCTGTTTGGTAAGTATTCAAGACCTCCTGTTTTTTGACAAGCCCAAGTTTCTTCACCAACTTCTCCTTTTTAAGAGTGGTTTAGGAGTTGCTGTGATACAATCTCTTAATTGGAAGGGAACTCTTTATTTCAATCAGGTTGACTCCGGAGCACTAACGCAACCCTTATGGGACGTGAGCGCCCTTGGTGCGGCTGCCTATCCAAGTAATATGAACTTCGTTCGTGACTACACTATAAAGCTCCTGGGCAGCTCATTTCCCAATATGACACCACTGGAGGTAAGATCAGCTGATCTAACTTGACTGTGCTTCTACTTCATTCAGATGGCTTTGTGTTGCTTTGTGCTGTTTAACTTCCATGATCATGGTTTCTGTTGTGTCCTGTTTAAATAAAACTTCATTATGTGTCGAACCCAGGTGACGACATTTGTGAATGGTCTTTTTGAGACAAGAAATGACTTGGGCGCTTTCAAGAATCAACTACGAGACTTCTTGATACAGTCCAAAGAGTTTTCTGCTCAGGTATTGTCTAGCATTTAAACTTCGTCTGAGAGTAGACCAGATATCTGTCATGTTTTGCTTGGAGTGAGATTTTCACGCAGTGTCACGTTATCTCTGGGGCGTTGTTCTTACGCCATTTCTCGAAGACGCAGAACCGTTTGGACCTCCATTGTCTTGTTCGGGTTTATGGGGTTCTTAGGCATTGTGTGTATTTTGTATGCACAGCAGGTTATTGAATGCTCTTGCAATAGAAATTGTGCATCTGAGAGCGATTTCTGGTCTGATAATGCAGGATAACAAGGATTTGTATGCGGAAGAAGCCGCTGCGCAAAGAGAAGCGGAAAGGAGGCGGATGTTGACAATACCAGGTCTGATTGCCCCGAGCGAGCTGCAGGACGAGATGGTCGATACATGACATTGACCTGTTCTATCTCAGTCCCGTGCTTGGTTTCCAGGGGAAGGTTTGGAAGGTAGCTGTGTTCGACTCAGCGGGCACCCATGATCTCTGGTCCTTACAGATAGGAGCACCTCGCAGGGTAGGCAGTTTTTGTGAAGAAAAGCAGAGCATATGCTACCATTAATTTCATCTCATTGGTTGGAAAGGTGCGAATAGAGGAGCTTGCATCTTTTTGTACGTGAGATCGGGAGTCTTTGACTCTCGCTTGAGCACAAGTTATGTAGGGGGCTGTCCATAACTACTAGTGATGCCTCTGGGCAGGGTTGAGAGTGCGTTGTGCAGGTTCAGGTTTTGTTGCCTGGTAAATTACCCTGCCTGTAGAGCTTCTCACAGACTCCGCCTTCAGTGGTTGAAGTAGGGATCGCTCCTTTCAAGTAGGTTACCCCACAGCAGACAAGCTGTAGATGGACGCGCACCATGTATGCAACTGAGAAATTCATCTGATTGTGGAGCATCCAACGAATAGGATATTAGTCTGTGGGCTGAGATGGTGGAAACGTTGGTCAGTGCCATATGCTCCATGCTTGCAAAGGATATATGCGAGTTGTCAATGATTTGTCAAATTTTGATCTTTCACCATCTCATGTAACTTACGTACAGTATATCAACAAAGCCATTAATTGTATTTTGTGTAATGGACATGATACAAACTTATCTGATGTATTATACCTATTTGGACCGCTATGAATCTTTTTACTTTATTTGTGTCAGTTTCATGTCGACTGGTCGATTGTGAGTGCTGCGGATGAGCGACAATATTCCTCCGTCAGAGGCTGATCATTACACGATCTCTACCTTCTTTGGTGCACAATGGACTACCTAAGATTTGTAGCTATCAGCGCTACAAATTTTCTCTTAAAATTTAAGAGAAGATTTGATAGTGTTTCAGAACTTCCGTAACGCATGTTAGTACTGTGTCCCATTATTTGTTTACTTGAATAACATCAGAAATTACCATTTTGAGACTCGAAGCAGATAAGTTTCATTGTCTCTGAAACAACCGATTCAATCTAAAATTGTAAACAGATACTTGTGTCTGCTCAATGAGTTCGAGACGACACATGGTACGAGAGGAGTGACCTATTTCGAAGCGAGTAAGTTCTGTCTGAGCGCATGACGTGGAGGAAAACAGTTGACAACTTGACAGAATCATTCACACACAAAATGTATGCAAACAAGAATAAAATGCCTCATTTCCGTAAAAACAAAACAATTTGCTGAATGTTACTAAATTTGTGTCATTCAGAACTATAACTAGCTACTCTCTTTCATAAGAAGCCAACCCTAGTCCAACAAGTAAGAATTAACTAACATGAGTCAAGACAATATAATTTTGTTTCTAACATAGATGAAAAATTTAAAGTTTAATACTTCATTGATCTATCCCATTATATATTGAAATTTTCATCAAATTACTTTAATAAAAGAAATATATTAATAAAAACAAAAAACGAAAATAGATGATGTAAGATACAACAAAAGATGAGATTGTATGTCACTATACACATAATCCAAATCCCACAAAGTTTTTTTGATCAATGAACACAATGTTGATATTGTATAATAACCCAGACCAACAATGTTGATCAATTAAGATAATGGAGCAGTGGTCATAAAAGTTGAAATCAGTTTCAAAATGTGTAACAACCTAGATCTTACCATGAGCCTTGATCGATTAAGACAGCAGCATGATCGTAAAGTAAGTTGAAAACATTGCCTCGGAATGTGTGAGAAATCACACCTTGAATGGACTAGTTAAAAAATAGATGACACTAAAGCGCAAGTGTTACACTCTTACATAGTGGCCAAATGCGTGAAGCTACAATGAGTATGAGGACGTGAGAATTGTGATATAGCCTTAAATACGAGTTCAAATGAAAGAAATGCGGTGCAAATCTTGATAGTAGTTACAAATATTCAAATGAGAAATTTAAAGTGAAGAAGTATCCGTATGAACAACAAGTGAACATGTCATGGTCTATCCTAACAGACGAGGTAGTCCAGCGTCAGAAAGCAATAAACACTTTATCTATAAAGGGGGGAAATTTTCCAAGATTGTGCATCCACATAAGCTATTTCTTAGGAGCTTAAGATTGGGATATAGCATGTAAACCACGCACATGTAAACAACTAGTGTTTTTTTCTAAGACCAGCAAGTGGTATTCCTCTCAGAACATCCCGCACTCCAACAAATTGCTGGAATGGTAGTTCTCACGAATCCCCCTATCTTCTTGCAAGAAAATTGATAATTTGTCTTCATCACCAAAAAAACACATTTGCAAAAAAGGGCATCCCACCCTAATTACACGTCGTGATTATCTAACATTCACTAGATTCAGTGTACAGTGTCAAGGACACAATGATCACCCTACATCAAAAGTGGCGAGTACGCAATAAGCATACCACATCAAAACGGGATGCAGTTAGTAATACTAAACCGAGACATGATAGTGAGGGATGATGCCACCAAATTGAAAAACACCGACCGTTCCACGGAAAGAAGTGTTTTTCTTTCTATAAATTTTACTGATTTAAAAATCTGCAGGATCATGCTATAATTGAAAGAATTAATGTTAAATTTCTGAAGATATATTGTTAATTTTTTTATCATGTGTAATTAATATAAAAGTAATTTTTTTAGAAAAATAAAAAAATAATTAAAATTTAAATTATAAAAAATAAAAACTAAAAAAATATATATTGAAGAAATATGATTTGTTTGAAAAATTTATAAATATTTTTTTACTTCAAATAAATAATTTTGACGTTTTTTTTTAATTCAATCAAATCAATCAACACAAGCGTAATTTTTTAATTTGATAAAAAATAATATACTTTATTTTTATAAAAATAGATCAATAAAAGTTAAAAAAATGTTTGTATACATTTTCCTTTTTTTGGCTTAATTTGGCTGAATACTATTAAAAGGCTAAGGTCGCATTAATTACAGCTCCACCAGGAAGTTTTAAATGTAAAATTTTGTATTCCATGAATCAAATCCTAATCCTTAGGATTTGCGAGGCTATGCTGCGTCTAATCGAGCTAAAATAGCTATTTTGAAAAAATGATATAGAAATGCTTAAAATATCAACAATATAATCAGATATATTAGATTCAAATATTTCAAAACAGAAATATATAAGAAAAAATTAAATCGATGAAATAAAATAGATAAAACACTGTAAATTGAGATCTATTCATGATATTAATTATGATTTTGAAAATTCAATAATATATAAAATTCAACAACGATAAAAATTTGTAAGTTTGGATTTTTTAGAAATTTTTTTTTTTAAAAAATCGTTAATAGAAATTACTTTAATATCAATATCCAAAAAGATAATATATTTCAAATTTTTTTTTCTTGTGCTCTCAAAAAAAATCCAAAAGTATTACGTTGGAAAACTATACAACATAATTTTTTTTTCAGCATTTGGTCTAGATATTTTGCAATTTGTCAATTATCTCCATAAGACATAACAGTGAAAATGATCAGGCTATCTATTTTGAGGTGTAATAAAATTCGTGTGACGTTGAAAACTGCTTATGTGTATGCAACTCATCTGAAGGAATGCTTTAAAGTCACATTGTGATCTACAGGATGGTAAAAGTGAAAAAAAATGCCACAAAGAATGTGAAAATATATGCTTCGTACTTTGATTTCTTTACATGACGTGAAAGACCGGATCCTGCTCTAAAAATGCAACAGTTTGGAGTGGATCCAGAGAATATTGAATTTTTAGATATATGATTCACAATCTCGTCATGTTTTCAAATACACAATCACGTGGTGAGTGAATTTCGTGGTAGGAGTTCAGTTAGGCGCGCGTCATATGTCCACCACTGGTCCGATGGGCACATTTGGTAAAAAGATTTGACTTTCAAATATGCACTGACCGCCCAAGCTTCTCTTTAAGCTTTAATGTTCTAAAACAAATAAGGTTAAGGTGTTCGCTATTAAGGTGTGACAGAGAGGCATGACGTCTCAGTGCTCAGACGTGTGACGAAGAGATATAAAAATATTGAGAAATGGACAGGAGCCATTCGTTTGGAGTTTATGTATTCCATCAAGCAGGCAACCTTCCAGCATCATACAATCGCGCTGTGACGCTTTAAGTTTTATTTCTTCCTTGCTGCAATATCATCATCTTCAGTGTTATCGAAGACGAAGATGACGTCCTGAACGAGTCAGCCTACTAAATCAATCATCATAACTCTATAATTGTCGATTTTGGAACTGCAGCTGGTTAGAATGTACTTCACATTAGATATCTAACTGATGTTAGAAGAACCTAAATACTAGTTGCGAGGCAGGTTTGACTTACGTGTATTAATATATGATGATGGAATAATTAAATAAAGAAATAAATTTATGCTCACAAAGCTGTCATGATTTAAAAATTATGTCTAAATATTCAGATGATATATAATGAAATAGAATATAATGAAATATAATGATTATAATGAATAGTGCAGTCAATATTGTTATGAAATGAAGAGATTTGTCATAGTTCTTTACATATACAAAGAAACGTTATATATCTTAATGCATGTATTTTGTATCTGATGTTAGTATCTAAAAACCCGATAAGATTCGATTCGCTTAGTTGCACAAACTTTTACAAACGGCCGTACTGCCAGGTGTCAGGGATCCCAGTTTCTTTCTCCTCTTTCTTTCTTTCTTCATCCTCCCTTGTAATAACCCACTAAAGGCTAAAACTGCAATATAGTGGTAGAAAGGTCGAACCCACAGGGACAGAGGAACACACAGGGTACAAAGTGTCACGTTTTAACAGACTATTGAGGAGTTTGAATTCTCAGGCAACTGTCACTCCCAGAAATACTGCAAGTGTCCACTCGGAGCGCACTCGGAGGTCGCACAGTGCAGCGTAACACACACACACACACACACACACCTGAAACTACAGAAACACAACCCAGAGATCCGTTAGGACCTCTACTCAAGATTTCAGGGGGGAAAGTCTCTCGCGAGCACACTCGGCGAAGCTGCGGGTAGTGACTTCCAACTCCGGCTTTTACAACACTTCCACTAGCTTGCTGCTAGTGTAGGAAACCCGGTTTGGACTGCCTACTTCGGATCGAAGTCACTCATACGCGGTGAACAACACTCTCAACTCACAAAACGCGCAGAGAACACAGGTCCGCACTGAAGGACTCACTGAGAAACATTCCAGTAACACAACAACAGTCTATTGAAGAGTTTGAATTCTCAGGCACTTGTCATTCCCAGAAATACTACAGGGGTTACCCTCAAGGCACCTGCTGCAGCGTAACCTGAATTTACAACCAAGGCTTACACGAAGTAGCAAAACTTCACTTTGGCATTCAGGGGAAAAATCCCAAAGGAGTACAATCAGAAAGAAACACTCGAAGGTGTAGGGGCGAAACTGTTCAAGTATCTAACTAGTCACTGGCTCTGAGCATCGGCAGTCACCCGCAGGTGCAGATCCGAACTACTCAAGTCTCTAACCAATGTACTAGCTCTGAACATTCGGCCGAAGGCCTTCAGCTACAAAATGCGGAACGCTAAGTTGTAACTCCTCGTGCGTGGTGACAGAACTCAAGGACACAAACACGCAAAGGAAATGGGTTCC